ATCCAAGGGATTTGTAAAAGACAGTGGCATTTATTTAAGTATCTCACTTGGGAAATTTGGAGAAAAAAAATCCATGGCTGAGATCATATAGGACTGATTTTATGCAAGCTAATATGGCTGTCTTTAATGCCTTTAAGCTCTCTCTCTCTCTCTCTCTCTCTCTCTCTCTCTCTCTCTCTCTCTCTCTCTCTCTCTCTCTCTCTCTCTCTCTCTACACACACACACACACACACCACTCGTCCCTCTCCAAGGACAGTAGACATTTATGCTCCTCAGCAAGCTGAAGGTCTGATTCACTCAGTCACAAACACCCCAAGTGAACGCTTCTTGTGGGGAATAGGATTCTCATTGCCAAGACATTAGAAAAAAAAAAACAGTTTTATAATATCCTAGGCCACACTGTGTCTTTTGAAATATCAATGTCACCCTGGCAGTAATGGTGCACGCCTTTAATCCCAGCACTCGGGAGGCAGAGTTCGAGGCCCGCCTGGTCTACAGATTGAGTTCCAGGACAGGCTCTAAAGCTACACAGAAAAACCCTGTCTCAAAAAAACAAAAAGACAACAACAAAACCGCCCCCCAAAAAAACAAAATACCAATGATCCTCACATAAAGCTATTCCAGAAATCCTAAAGCCCCTCAAATATTAACTCCCCCAGGCAGAATCCACCATCTCCTCTTTGATGCATCGAATGCCCTTTGTTAGACTTAATCGTTCATGCATATGTTTACACTGCCAAAGGAACCATCAATGACTTACATGTAAAAACAAGCAGTACCACAGGTCAAATGTTAGGTGTTGACTAGGTGTTGAAAATAACCAACGAAGAAGACAATGCAGGCTTATGGCTCTGTGGGGAATGCTGTACTTTCAAGAAGCGTAACCCTTGCAGCATGCTGGTGGCAAGCACAGAGCAGGCTAAGATACTAGAAGGGAGCAGAGATAAGGGACGGGCTCACAGAGAGGGGGTATGGGCAAGGATATCACAGGCTGTGGAGAATCAGGTTCAGCCCAGAAGGCATGAAACCTGGGTATAATGTTTCCATTACATGAGGTTCCAGAGAGCAATCTGAAAAACAGGCTTACTGTTAGTGCTGCATTGAACATTTTCAAATGTGCTGAGAGGAAACTAAACTCAAACGATGTGCTTTCACAACTAAAACACAGGAAGTCTTGGCACAGTGTGCATATGTATAGTTCCAGTTGTTTGCACTGCTAGAATCACTTGTGCCCAGGAGTTCAAAGCTGGCCTCAGAAACAAGGCAAGATCCCATCTCAAGAGAAAAAAAAGAACGAAACAGCATGGCCTGTCTGGGAACTTGCTGTGAGCAAACCACTAGACCACCGACACCACCCTGATAGGAGGAAACAGCAGTCAGAGCCAAGGAACACTGAGCCTCAGCGCCAAAGCTGTCACATTTAAATTTCCTAGGCAGTAGGGGAGCCACAGAGAAACAGGATCAGAGCAACAGAGGCAGCAGTGTGGGAAGCAGATGGTTTAACAAGGTAAGCATGGAGGCTGACAAACCCTGATGTAGTCTACGACAGACCAAAAGCCAGGACTTAGGACAAGGTACACTCTTCTTCGGTAATATTCTCACTTCTAGAACAAAATCTTGTATACAGCAGGTGCTCAGTCAGTAACTCCTAAATCAATGAATCCTTTAGGACAGGAGCCCTAGCTAAGTCTTTTTTTTTTTTTTTTTTTTTTTTTTTTTTTTGAGACAGGAACTCTGTGTAGCCTTGTAGACCAGGATGGCCTTGAACTCACAGAGATCCGCCTACCTTTGCCTCGAGTGCTGGGATTAATTGCGTGGGCCACCCCCACCTCTCAGCTTAGTCCTTATTCCTCAACAACTGTAGGGGAACAATGTATGTAAAGGATGCTCAAAAACATTTACTGGTATACTGTTTTAAAGGCGTATGTATGCATGCATGTCCTGAACACTTTCAAACAATGACATTAGCTGGTATAGATCAGGCAGTGGAGTGTGAGACCCTGGGTTTTATCCTCAGTGCCACTTAAACTGGGTGTGTTTGGCACATGCCTGTATCCCTGGATTTGGGAATCGGATAACAAAGGATCTGAAATTCAAGCTTATACTTGGCTACAATGGGAGTTTGAAGCCAGCTGGACCTAGAAAGCTTGTCTAAAAACAACAACAATAAACAAACCACATAACATCAAATGTCTTGTCCAGAGAAAATTTGAAACCATCAGCAATGCACAACCCATATAGGCATCAGGCAACCCAGCTGGGTCCTTGGTAGTTTGAGATTCCTGTTGCAACACAAGCCAGAAACACCATGGCCTTCCTGAGCTTGTGTGACAGCATCCACTCACACCATGATTTCCTAGACTGCACTGTTCCCCATGGCAGCCGCCACCAAGGGAGGCCAGTTAGCAGTTGATGACTCCTCACACTGCCTGGCAGCCCAGTGACTTTGTGAGGAGGGTCCACTTCTCTGCTCTATAAGGAACGAGAAGGGCACTTTAACTCTCCTGAGGTAGAACATGCCAGGCTCAGCCATCACTTGACAGACACATCACCACAGTCTCCACAAGTCCTCCAAATGCCAGAATTCCAGGCAACTGCCCGCTGCCTCATTACAGAGACTCCCAATACCATGGAAAAGAGTTCTCTGCCTCTGAGAAACAACAGCAACAGAATTGGGGGTGTGCAGGGGGTGGAGATCTATGCTGAATTCCCTACCTTGGGAAATGACAGGGGAAGTCCTTTTGTTGTATTTGTTGTCTTATTGGTTGATAAATAAAGCACTGTTGGCCAATAGGGAAGCAAGATAGGTGGGACTAGGAGTTGAGGAGGATTGGGAAATGTAGTCAAGGGGAGAGATTCGCCATGTGATCCCGGGAAGAGAGGATGCACGAGGCTGTGTCCTCCGTAAGATAAGACCTTATAAAAATATATATTAGTAATTATGGGTTAATAATTAAGTAAGAGCTAGCCATTAAGAAATCATAGCAAACAGCCAGCAGCTTTATAATTAATACAGCGTCCTGCATGTTCATTTGGGACTGGTGCAACTCTGGACCAGGCTGGCAGGAAGAATACACATTACAGGGCAAAAAAAGTACAAGTGCCAAAACAAGTTCCAAGCTTCTATGCAAATCCTGACTTCCACTTTCTAGTGTGAAGTTAAGTCAATAGTTTAACCTTTCTAATTTTTTTATTTGAAAAATGAAAATGATTTGTTCTGTCCAACAGGGTTCCAGGAAGCCCATGTGATGGTTCACCTCAACTGCCAATGATAAAATGGATTGGGAATCAGCTAGAAGGGTCTCTGGTCATGTCTGTAGGGACTTGGTTGACTAGATTAACTGAGGCGTACAGATCCACCCACCAGTCTCTAGGCTAGGATTCTGGAATATATGAGGAGAAGCTAGTGAGTTAAACACGGGCCTTCACTGCTCTCTGATTCTGAACCGTGGGTGCAATGTGACCAGCTGCCTCAAACTCCTGCTGCTGTCACTGCCCCACCACTATGAAACACTATTCTCCTGTAAGTTACTTTTGTTGGGTTGTTTTATCACAGCAACAGAAAAAGTATCTTAGACATATATAACACAGCTAATACGGTGTGTACCCAACAGGCATTAACAAATATTAGTTTCTTCTGTGGCTGGGGATGAGGTAAATGAGGAACATTTGCATGGGCCAGGCCTTATGGGGCATCACACACAGGGAGAAGAAAGCCCTGGCGGTACAGAAACTATGGAAATGGACAACCAGCTGCTTCTACCTCTGCTATACTTGAGAAAGTTACAAATGTGAGTGAGAGGCTGTCCCAAGTACACAAAGGAAACTAATCTGTTTGCCAGGGGAGGAAATAGCACAGGATGAAGATTCTAAGTTGTTTGAAGCTCCTTCCCTAATTATCACCCATAATGAAAATTTAATTGCCAAGTTAAAAGCAAATTTCACTTTTTCTGTCAGAGAATCTCTACAGAAACTGGCACATTTTGTTTGAACAGGAAATCAAAGTTACTTTAATGCTTAAATGAGATCTAAGGAGATACAGATGATTCTTTGGGAATAACGAACTTCAAAACTGCCTCACTAGGTTGCAGCAATTTACAGCTTCAGCGAGACCCAGAGCTGTCTGCACAGGTGCTCTGGGCTAGCTGCGGTTTATCTATCCCCATGGTTCATGCTTTGGAAGCTACACGTGTTTGGTGATGCTAACAGGCGGGGCCTGGTGAGAGGTTCTTAGCTCACCTAGGATAGTGCTCTTGGAATGGATTAATGTACCAATAGTGGGGTTCTTCAAAGAGGTTGTCACCAGTAGGGCCACCAGGTCTTGAGCTCTAAGCCTCCAAAACCATGAGCTAAATAAACCTCTGCTGGGGCTGCAAGCATGATGACCTGAGTTCAGTCCTAAGAACTCACCTGACTCCCACAACTGTGCTCTGACCTATACAAGCATCCCATGGTACACACTAAATTTAAGAAATAAAAAATAAATTAATGCTGGGCAGTGGTGGCACACGCTTTTAATCCCAGCACTCGGGAGGCAGAGGCAGGTGGATCTCTGTGAGTTCAAGACTAGCCTGATCTACAACAGCTAGTTCTAGAACAGCCTCCAAAGCCACAGAGAAACCCTGTCTCAAAAAACCCAAAACAAACAAACAAATTAATTAATTAATAAGCCCATTTATTTCAAAATAGACTACCTCAGGTATTTCCTGATAGCAATAAAAAACTGAAAATACAGTTAGTTAGGTAGCCCTAAGTGGTGGAAAGGATTCAAATCCTAAGTACCCAGTGCTAGGTCAGAGAGAGGATCTCTGGCACAGAGGCGCTTACAACACAGTAGAAGATAGTGAACCAGGAAACATCTCAAGGTTAGGAAGTACACTCACTCAAGAAATAGAGTCATGGAAAAACAGCAAGAAAGAAAAAAGTGACCCTCCTGAGGGTGCTCTCACACGGATGCCATCCTGCTGACCCACATGTGTGTCAGCCCACAGTCTGCTCACCTGTAAGGTACTGGTGAGGAAGTTGTCCTGGGAGACAATGTCCACAAAGAAGTCAGCAGGGATCTCGCCAAGCTGGTGGTACAGGATGGAGATGAGGCTGACATACAGGGTATGGTGCTTTACCATGGCTGCTTCCGACCGACACAGGAGGTTCAAGAGCCGCTTCCAGTGCTCAAATGCCTCGTACACATTGCCCAGCAGGAAGCACACAAAGGCAAACTGGAGTTCACCTAAGATACACAGAAGAACTGAAATCCTCACAGCAAGGCATACCAGCTGACACTTCCCTACATGATTTATAATGCCATCATTTACACTAGACCTTAGCAACAAGGAGCCTTGTACCCTTGTCATTCCAACAGAACTTAGGATGGGATTCTGCATCCAACAAGCACTCAGAAAACATTTGCTAAACTGCTAAAACTTCAAACCATGGAAAGCCAAACTGTGGCTAGGTATTTATTAAAAAAAAAAAAGGGTCACAAGAGAAGCAGTAGTACTACTACATGCCTGGTATTTTAGGAGGTGAAACCTAAACCTACCCATCAGAATTACTAATAGATCTCATTAAAAGCAAAGCTGCCCAGAGCTAGAGAGGTGGCTCAGGGTTAAGAGTATTTGCTACTCTTCTAGAGGACCCAAGTTCAGTTCCTAGCACCCACTACAGGCATCTTAAAACTACCTGTTGACTCCAGCTGCGGGAGATCTGACATCCTCGTCTGGTCTTTTGTGTGCACCTGCACTCGTACACATAGCCACATATATATACCACACACACATACACACAGACAGACAGACAAACACACATAGAGAGACAGAGAGGCATAACTAAAGATAATATAATCTTTTTTGTTTGTTTGTTTTTGTTTTTCGAGACAGGGTTTCTCTGTAGCTTTGGAGACTGTCCTGGAACTCACTTTGTAGACCAGGCTGGCCTCGAACTCACAGAGATCCGCCTGCCTCTGCCTCCCGAGTGCTGGGATTAAAGGCATGCGCCACCAACGCCCAGCAATATAATCTTTATAATAATATAAATCCTAAGATTTACAAAAAGAAAGTAGGTAAAGCTGTCCACTTGTCAACTCAGAGATTTTGGTTAAGTAGAGATGATGGACTCCAGAATTTCTAAGAACAAGATCAAAGCATAGTATTTTACAACCAGCTCCTAACATTGCCATGTCATTGAAATGGTCACCTCTTAGTAGCTAGTATTCTAAGCTTCCAGGTGACATGACCCACTCTAGGGCTGGTGAAAAGCTGCATCACACACCACGCTCAGTCCTCAGTCCAATTTCTCTAGGTCATCAGAGAAGGCAGTATTTCCCTCATTTTAAGATGAGGCCAAGGGCATGCCAAAGATCATATAATTAATGTTTTGGATGATGGAAAGCTATAACAGATTTGATGCTGGTAAGAACACTTCCCACAGTAGGGAATTCCTATACTTATTACCAGTCAGCTTAGTTTTGTTTATTTAATCACAGGGCTCTGATTTCATCTCTGAGCAGCCTAATGGCTAAGAGCATAGGCTTTGGAGCCAAAGTGCCTGTATTCAAATCCTAGCTCTACTACTTAGAAGTAGTGTGACCTAAGGCAGATTTCACAGTCTACTTACACCTCCATTTCCTCATTTGAGAGTTATAATGAAGAGTAAATTGCTTACTACAGTGCCGGTTAAACACTTACAATAATATGGTATATATAAAAAAGAATAACATGGGACATAAAGTAGTACTCAAAATGCCAGTTCCTATTCGAATCTCCAATTGATTCCTGTTTCCAGCAAAGACCTGACAATCCAGAAGCCACTGAACATGTGTGCAAGCAACAGGGGGTTTGCCTGCTAGATAAACTATACCTGAGCTAGATGCAGTGACGCAATGTGTAATCTCAGCACTTGGGAGGTGGGGGAAGGGAGCCACTGCCACAAAAGTCCCAGGCCATGCAGGGTTACAAAGCAAGACCTTGGCTCTAAATAAATGAACACACATCGACTCACCAGACACATTCTCCCTGGCTTCAAAGGTAGCCATAAATTTAAGCTATGTATATATGGGCCAGAAAAAGAATGAATCAGTTGGGCATGGTGGCACACACCTTTAATCTCAGCACTCGGGAGGCAGAGGCAAGCAGATCTCTCTGAGCTCAAGGCCAGCCAGGTCTATAGAGTGAGTTGCAGGACAGCTAAGCTAGGGCTGTTACACAGAGAAATTTATATTAATTACACTAATTAAATTTATATTACTACGTCATGCATTAAGATGTATCCATTAAAATGTCTGTTGTATCATCAGCTCAGCTAAAGATATAAAAAAGTCTATAAGCAAACTTCTCACCAATCTCCACCAACAGGAAATTATATAAATGCCCTGAATAATTTATAAGAAGATAAGGACAGAGTTAAAGGTGTAACAGGGTTGGGGAGCTACTCGGTCAGTAAAGTACTTGTCCTGCAAGCACACGGGCCAGGGTCAGGTCCCAGAACCCAAATTAAAAACCTGGAGTGTGGTGCAAGTGCTCACAATCCTAGCCCTGGGAAAGCAGAGACAGGCAGATGGCTGGGGTCTCCTGGCCAGCTAGCCTAGTCTACCTGGTGAGTTCTAGGTCAATAAGAGAACCTGTCTCAAAAGAAAAAGGTTAGTAGTGCTTAAGGAACCATGCCCAAGGGGCTGACCTTTGGCCTCCGTATGTGGCACATGTATGAACACATGCAAACAGCAAGACAAATGCTTGTTGTCATTGGTATTCAAGAAATAGAAATGAGATGCCACTTTTCAACCACTGAATTTAAGAGGCCTTCACCAAGAAACCATTCTGAGTGCTGTCAAAAGCAATGAACAACTTCCTATCACCTGCTGAGGAGGCAAAATCTGGCAACACACACAGTCCGACCCTAAGCTTGCTTATTAGGCTTAATTGTAACAGAAAAAGAGGAGCATCCTAAGGAGTGACCGCTGAGAACTGGCTCTGTAGCTCTGGACACTGAACAGGTGAGCAGTGACATGGAAACACTTAACAGCACACCGTAAAACACTACTCTTTAATCTTGTTTCTATAAAAATCACACCTACTCCTAGAAGCTTAAAAGACTGAAATATAATAGCTGGGCGGTGGTGGCACACACCTTTAATCCCAACACTCAGTAGGCAAAGGCAGAGGCAGGCAGATCTCTGTGAGTTTGAGGCTAGCCTAGTCTAGAGAGTGAGTTCCAGGACAGATTCCAAAGCTACCATGAAACCCTGCCTCGAAAATAAAATAAAATAGACAAGTGAAATATAAAGAAATACACGGGAAAAAGAGAAAAGATAACCAAAGATGAGCCCTCTATTCTAAAATACGGCCACCAGCATCCTCCCCCAAAAGCCCCTCCTTCTTACCAAGTACATCCTGGGGGTTGCAAGGGAACTGCTTGCTGAGTACAGTCTCAAGGGCATAGCTCAAGTCCATGCTGTGCCTGGTGATCTCTGCTGGTGTGGCACCCGCTGGGAACATCTGAGTGGGCAACTCCGAGAAGCGGATCTCTGTCCCAGCCCTGGGCTTCATCTCAGGCAGCCGGGCTAAGCCCTCCTGGTAGCTTTTGCACTCAGTACCACAGAGGGGTAGATTCTGCTCCACCCTGTCCTTGGTGTGCTTCATGGAAAGCACAGGCAACACGTCTGAGAAGGCACAGATCTGCCGGCTCTCGGGTTGCAGCTTCTCCACGGTAGCCTCATTGATGAAGTTGGTGAGTGAGATCCATTTCTTGAGTGTAGCATATGGGTAAGGTCCCAGAAACTGGTCTAGCTCAGGGAGATTGGCTCTCATAGCTTCTACTTCAGCCTCTGGAGCTGGAGACAAGTCTACCTCTTCCTGAACAGCATTCCAACGAAGAACTGTCAGCCCCCGCTGCTTCAGGCTAAGAAAGAAGCCCATCCGAGGGCCCACCTCCCTGGGATTGGCCTTGTCCACAGAACTGTAGTGAAGGAAGTGGATGCCAGGAGGGATCATCTTCACACCCCGGAACTTGGGCCCCACCTCCCAGGAGTTGTAGTCAATGCCAAACTCTGTTCCCTTGGGCATGTTCAGAATGACCACAGTGGCTCCTTCAAAGAAGAGTTGCTTGGCTAACTCAGGATCCATCTGCACGGACGCCATGGGGCCAGTGGTGGGCAACAAAAAGCAGTACTCTCTTGTCTTCTAGAACAGCAGAGAGAAAAGAGAACAAGTTGACCAAATATGGGAAAAGGCTACTTATTTCTAGTACATTCTCTAGATGTCACATATTGAATTCCATCCTGACAGAATTAACTCCCTAACCCTCATGGCAACCCTGCATCTGTCTAACATCTGTCTAAACATGCATCTCTCTAGGAAAATCAGGATCAAAGAGATTTGGGGATTTTTATTTAAGAAGCAAGAGTCTTCATTCCACCACTACAGAGGCACCACTTACAGAGAGGTGATAATGCTCAAAGTCACACAGTGCCCAAACGAAAAACTGCTGACACTGCAGATCTGTGTCCACTGCACACTCTTAGAATCTGCACTCAAGTCTTTCTCAGATCAGAGGGTAAGGGTGCAAACACACACATGGCCCATTTTAAACCAGAACTAAGCTAAAATCATTTTAAGCTACAATTCCACCTAAAACCTGCTACCACAGATTACCATGAGATCTGTCAAGGATGACCAAATCAGATCTGTTATCTAATTTCCCTTGAGCATCTTAAATTAACAGAAGGTTTGAGGAGTGGAGAGTTTTCCAAACTCATCAAAAACCTAGCTGAAATGAGGGAAAATAAAGGATAGTCCCCTTGTTTAAAAACAATCCAGCAGGGTACAGTGGTACACACCTCTGTTCCCAACCCTTGGGGGATGGAAGCAGAAGAATCAGAAGTTCAAGGTCATCCTTGATTGCTAGAGACTACCTCAGAAATAATAAGTAAAAACAAAAGGCAGCAAGTACACAAAGGAGATTTAGAACCACAAAAAAACATCTATGGGAGGTAGACGCAGGAGGATCAGAAGTTTAACGCTGTTCTCAGCTACATAATGAATTTGAGGCCAGCCTAGAACACATACACAAGACACTGTCTGATTACAAACAAGCGCAAAACAAAAACACCTAAAGTCCAGGAACAAACAACTTCCCAAAGAGCCACAATTCATCCAGAAGAGATTGACATGGCAGGCTGACAGTAAGTATTTGAGGAGAACCTGAGATTCTTTATTTTGCCCACATTTAAATTCCCTATAAAGACACTTTGATAAAAAACAAAGTGAGGGGCAGAGTGCTGGCGAATGGCTTGATGAGTAAAGGCACTTGCCTTGTATCCCTGACAACCTCACTTTCGTGGCCAGAACCCACATAAAACTGGAAGGAGAAAAGAGAACCCACTAAGTTGTCTAACCTGCACATGCTGATCATATCACATAATGCCTCATCATGCACTTACATACACACAATATTAAAAACAAAACTCCATAGCAGACACTGCCTCTGAGGTATAAGAATGGTTTCAACATGAACCAATTTTATGCAATCAACTACTTCAACTTCTACTCCTAAATTACTAACTCAACTGGCAAACGCTCAGATTATCTGCACTACGAAGGGTCTTTACTGGACCCCAACAGAAATATCTGAAGAGTAAGACTCCAGACTACCAGGCATCTTCATTTTACACAGAGATATACAATATGACCTCAGAATTCACAAACAGAAAAATCAAGTGCTTAATTCTGTTTATTCTTTAAAACAAAACATGAAAGAAATCCTTTTTACAAAAAAATGTTAGGAGCACACTTTGTCTTTACCTCAAAAACATGAGAAATGACTAAATCAGCACTTTTTTCAAACTGCATGACATAACTTGAGTTAAGAAATCAGTTTTAGACATACAGCTAATCTTAAATAATAAAGTCATACAGAGGCTACAAGAGCGCGTTGAAGTCCCTGAAGCTGGAGTTGGAGATGGTTGTGAGCACCATGAGGTGGCAGGAACCAAGCCTAGGTCCTCTGGAAGAGCAGGCAAGTCTCTTAACCACCGAGTCATCTCTCCAGCACCAAAAACACATTTTTTTTTCAAGACAGGGTTTCTCTGTAGTTTTGGAGCCTGTCCTGGAACTAGCTCTGTAGACCAGGCTGGCCTCAAATTCACAGAGATCCGCCTGCCTCTGCCTCCCGAGTGCTGGGATTAAAGGCGTGCACCACTAACACCAGGTCAAAAGCAGAATTTTTAAACTATCAGAATGCCACTAGTAATAAGGATGGGTATGATTCCTTGGAATCTTGTGTTTACATGCGCACATGGTCGCGTTGTGAAAGTCTTTAAGACTGTAGTTCACAGCCAACAACATCTGAAACATACAATTGGGATACATTCTTCACTGTCCTGCAATACACAGGCACCTCCTCACCCTATTCACCACCTCCCAAGCCCAGAGAGGGAGGCTCCTCAGTGCGGCTCTCTCCGGCTTCTCCAGTGGCTTTAGGCAACATAAAATCGTAACTATGCTCCGAAAACTCTGCAAGAATAACCCGTGGCAACCCTTCGGGTTGTTTAACACCACCCCAACTCCCAAGGACTGATCCCGCCACACCGGCTTCTTTTTGACCCTCAAACCAGAGAAAACTACCCACAGTACTTTGCCAAATGATTTTCCTGTGTTCTGTGATTATACACTGGGTGCCTTGTGTGTGACTTTGTGTGCCTGAATAAGGGCTGTCATAACCACAAGACTTGAGTCCTACATCCCTAGTACATACGCGATGCTTACAAGTTTTATTTAACAAAATACAATCTGCATTTAAATAGAGCCAGGAGGACGCTGAGGGACTTACCGGAAGGCGCGTAGAGAGGAGGATAGAACCAGATCGAGTGAGAATAAGGTCTTTGGTCCTCAAGCTCTACAGTTAAAGGGAGAAAGAAAGTTACTTCGTGGGCCCCAGGATGCCCGATCACGGTATCCCTGGTGACGGGTTCTCAGGGCTAGGCCTCCTGAGACACCAGCCCACAAACTCACAAACTCGGCCGGCTCGGAGTCAGGGGCCTAATTAAGTGCACTTCGCGATTCTGAGTCAAGAAGCCAGGTGACCCGGTCACACAAAACGAAACCAGAGGACGAAAGAAGTAACAAGAGCCGACACTTACCACAAAGTCTCACGCGCCGCTCCGCGGAAACGGGACGGAAGTTCGGCGACGTTGGCACCGGATAGGTGTTACGGAAAAAGTAGTCCCGCAGAACCTCAGGTCACAGAAGAAATGACCCGTGCTTGTAGGTTCCTCCCGATAAAGCACTGCATTTTCTTCTTATTGTTTCATTTTACCGCCTGAATTGTGGATTACAATTTTATTTAAACTATGCACTTTACGGCCGGGCGTTGGTGGCGCACGCCTTTAATCCCAGCACTCGGGAGGCAGAGGCAGGCGGATCTCTGTGAGTTCGAGGCTGGGCTGGACCGACAGCCTCCAAAACAATACAGAGAAACCCTGTCTCGTAAAAACAAAACAAAAAAAAAAAAACAAAAAAACAAAAAACAACAACAACAACAAAAAAAAGAAACTATGCACTTTACATCCCCTTCCAGAAATATACTCACCAGCCACAGTCCTTTGGTCTCAAGCAGACACGGTCACCAAAGCGTGGTCCGGGTGTTGGCTCCCAGCAGCCACAGATAAACTGGCTCAGTCATGCTTGGCCCTCGTTTGCCATATCACTATCCAGTCACAGTGTCAAAGGTGCCCTGCTACCACCCATTCCCAGCTTCTAGACACACTCATCCCTAGGTAGAGTTTCAGAAACCAAGGTATTTGCCTGAAGGGAACAGTTCCTTCAAGAGCCACCACAGCAGTCTGTCTGGCAACAATCACCTGGAATACCCAATAGTGTCTTGCAATCCTAACAGAATACCACAGACATGCTATAAATGCCCACTGCCTGTCTTGTTCTAAACTATCTCTTTAGACCCTAGCCCATAGCTAGCTATCTACTGTGTGTTAATTACTAATAACAATAATGTGTTATAGTAAGTGACTGTGAGTCTGGCCTTGTAGTAGGTCCCAGAGCCACTAGGAGATACATGTCATGTATTGCAAAGAAATCCTTTCTGGTATGATGAGGGCTAGCTAAACAGCACCAAAGTTTATAGGGTATGCCACTAGGACACTAGTTCTAATCTTTACACTAACCATAGCCAATGTGTGACACTCCCCCAATCTTGTACTGCTGACTTTACCTACCTGATTTTCTGCCCTGTGGTAATCTTGTTTACCTTTGAAGACAGAATTTTTTTTTTTTGGTTTTTCGAGACAGGGTTTCTCTATATTGTTTTGGAGACTGTCCTGGAACTAGCTCTGTAGACCAGGCCTTGAACTCACAGAGATCTACCTGCCTCTGCCTCCCAAGTGCTCCCAAGGCATGCACCACCAACGCCTGGCTGAAGACAGAATTTTTTTTTTTTTTGGTTTTTCGAGACAGGGTTTCTTTGTGGCTTTGGAAGCTGTCCTGGAACTCACTTGGTAGTCCAGGCTGGTCTCTGCCTCTGCCTCCCGAGTGCTGGGATTAAAGGCGTGCGCCACCAACGCCCGGCAGAAGACAGATTTTTTAAAGGCCACCAATCTCTTCTTCAGGTGAGTTTACCAAAATCTGTTGAAATCTAAGATGGCTGACAGAGCAAAAGAGAAAAATAACCTCTAACTTCATTATCACCCACCTGCCTTTTAAGTGACATATTCCAGCACTATGACAGTTGTCAACTAAAAGGAGCCATAAAAGCAGTGCCCCAATCCCTGGACAGCCCCTGCCACTCCTGGAAAGGTTTCGAGTCCCCTAGCCCCTTCACTAACCCCTTTTCTTTGGCATGCTATCTGCATCTCCCTAGCCCCAATCGGCCAACAAGTTGATTTGAGTTTGTCTCCAATTTCTGTTCCTAACCAAGAATAAGCCTCCCTTGCTGCTAAGTGTGTCTTACTGCTGGTGCTACAATTCTAAGAGAGAAAAATGACCCAAGATGGAGATGGCAATTTGGTAATTAGTATTCTCAGTCTACAAAAGAGAAAGCCAAGGTTCAAAGCAGGGCTACAGACCCAGAGAGTGCAGGATTGGGATGTAAAACATGATCTAGTTGGAACTCTGGTCCCTGTTCTGCTTGTCTGTCATACTTCCCCAGTGACAGCTGAACCCATCAATCTGTCTCACTCACCATTTCACAATTCATCTCTTGGGAGGCTGAATCATCTCAGACAAGGCTAGATGGGGCGATTGCGGTTAATCACATTGGGCTGCCACAGGGTTGGCCAGAGGCGCTGTTCACTACCAGGCACATCAATCTCAACCCACCCTGTCAGTTCCGTTTCTCTGTGAAGCAGCCACTTCCTCCCCTCCCCTCCCCTCCCCTCAGCCATCTTCAGAGCTGAGCTCTATGGTGAGGTCACTGGGCTTCCTGTTCCAGGTGGCTCCACTGTCTTTTCAGAGACTCAGGGCAGTTAACACGGGACACAAAAGTTATAGAACATGAAGATGGTGACCTGGGAATCCAACTTTGTGAACCATGTTCATCCAAATCACAATTTCTCAACTTTGGCACCATTGGTATATGGGTCCAGGTAATTCTTGGTTGCAGACAGCTGTTCTGTGCATTGGACGAAGTTTAGCAGCAAACCCAGGCTCCAATTCACAGAACACTGGGAAAATGTGACACAAAAAATGTCTCTAGAAATTGCTTCATCACCCTCTTCAACCCAAGCTGAGAAATACGTTGATTTAGATGAACTACCCCAGTTATTCCCTGGAAGCAGAGAGACTTGTTTTACATGTCCAGGAGGCATAGAGTCCTAGTATTTGTAAACTAAGTCCTATTCCAGGATCCTAAAAGTAATCACCATTAAAAGAAACCTACAAGGAAAGTTCTGGAACACATTCACAGAGCTCCTTCAAGTTGTTGCCTTTTACAATAGATAAGACTCTGAAGAAGAGTAAGTTTTTGCCACCATGGCCTTTGTATCATTTAATGATCTGGTTTTACAGAGAAAAGCAGTAGTACTTAGTATCTGAAATGAAAGGAAAATGTTCAGAGTGTAAGGTTCTTTTTTTCCTTTTTCTTTCTTCTTCTTCTTCTTCTTCTTCTTCTTCTTCTTCTTCTTCTTCTTCTTCTTCTTCTTCTTCTTCTTCTTCTTCTTCTTCTTCTCTTCTTCTTCTTCTCCTTCTTCTTCTTTTTTGTTTTTGTTGCTGTTTCTCAAGAGAGGGTTTCTTTGTGTAGCTTTGGAGCCTTCCTGGAGTTTGCTCTGTAGACCAGGTTGGCTTTGAACTCACAGAGATCCTCCTGTCTCTGCCTCCCAAGTGCTGGGATAAAAGGTGTGTGCCCCCACGGCCAGCCAGAGTGTAAATTTTAAAAAGTATTTAGGATGGTATGTATGGATGATCTCAACTCTGAAAAATAAATGTATGTAGAAAAAAAGACTTGTTTTAGCCGGCAGCAGTGGCACATGCATTTAATCCCAGCACTCGGGAGACAGAGGCAGGTGGATCTCTGAGTTTGAGGCCAGCCTGGTCTACAGAGTGAGTTCCAGGATAACCAGGGCTACATGGAAAAATCCTGTCTCAAAAAAGCAAAACAAAGCAAAACAAAAGACCTGTTTTGTGAGATTCGGAGTGATTAGAAGGGAGACCCGAGTGATTTTCTTGACAGGATAAAATGGAAGGTGCAGAGTGTGTACCTTAGGTGACCCAAGGAATACATTTAGATTTTACATAATTATGATTTTAATTTTGGTTTTCGAGGCAGGGTTTCTCTGTATGGCTTTGAAGTCTTTCCTGGAACTTGCTCTGATGAACAGGATGGCCTTGAACTCACAGAGATCCGCCTGCCTCTGCCTCCCGAGTGCTGGGACTAAAGGCGTGCGCCACCACCGCCTGACTTAATTTTAATCTTTACTCGTTGCTTTCTTTCAGTTACAGGCTGTGTGCTTGCCAGGCAAGTACTATACTTACACACACACCCAGCATACTTACTATACACACCCAGCATACTTACACACCCCCAGCCCTTCCCATGTATTTCTATGGACATTCTTTTGTCAAGTGGCTCTAGTTATTTACCTTTGGAATTATTTTTTTTATTATTTTGTTTTGTTTTGGAGACGGGTTTCTCTGTGTAGATTTGACTGTCCTGGAACTCACTCTGTAGACCAGGCTGGTCTTGAACTCACAGAGATCCACCTGCCTCTGCCTCCTGAGTGCTGGGATTAAAGGCATACACCATCACTGCCTGGCTAAATTATTAATTTCTGTAGTACTGTTGTGTTGAACCTAGGACCTAGTGCATGCTATGCAAGCTACATCCCCAGCTCTATTTTTATTTTTTAACATTTTGTAGTGTGTGTGTGTGTGTCCGTCTGTCTGTCTAGGGAAGCAAGTGTGCCAGGTTGTGTATGTAAAGATCAGAGGACAACTTGCAGGACACAGATCTCTTCTTCCACTATGAAGGGCCTGGGGATTGAACTCAGGTTATCAGGCTTGGTAGCAAGTGCTTTGACTAAATCTTTACCTGCTGATTCATCTTGCTGGTCCCCTAACTTTCTCTCTTAAATGTTTTCAAAGTGAGTTACTTTAAAGAAAAGTTGTCACTAATGGGATGGGTGGCATGAGGATGTGGAGCACATGTGACAGGATTGCTGGGCACATTTGTTTTTTCGAGACAGGGTTTCTCTGTATTGTTTTGGAGGCTGTCCTGGAACTCGCCCTGTAGACCAGGCTGGCCTGGAACTCATAGAGATCCACCTGCTTCTGCCTCCCAAGTGCTGGGATTAAAGGTGTGCACCACCAATGCCCGGCCGCTGGGCACATTTTTTACAAGGCTCTCATACAGGGGGGTTTGCTTTTCTTTCAGATGGATTATGCTACACTTCCCTACACCAGGTTCTGGGGCCCACATACTTACTGTCCCCTCTGCCTAGAGATTTCTTATTCAAGATTTTCGCCTTGCTGGATCTTTCTCTTTATTCTAAAACGACCTCCTTAGGGAGGTCCTTAACTGGCTACCACTGATTTTGCCTTTGTGGTGCCGGGGATCACAGACAGCCCTGTACATGCTAAGTACACTCTGCCACTGAGCTACACTGTCACCTTTGGCCTTGTTAACGTGATCCCCTTCAGTGACCCCCACTGCCTCCTCTGTGTTTCCTCCCTGGCGCTGATCTCTCTAAGCAGCTTTTCCTGTCTCATTGTCTCCTGCACCTGAGAGCCCTTGACCCGCAAGGACTTTCCCGTGTGCCATTGAACCCACGGAGCTTAAGCCAAGGCCTGGGCCCCAGTGGGAACTCCAACCTTTGCTAATTAAAATTGTTCTACATTAGAGCCTGGCTTGGTGCATGCCTTTAATCTTAGCACTAGGAAGGGAGAGGCAGGAGAATTTCTTCGAGTTCCAGGCTAGAGCTATATGGTGAGATCCTGTCCCAAAAACAAAAGAAAAATGTTCTACATTGGGGTGTCTCCACTCCAGTCTACATTGAGGTGTCTCCACTCCAGTCTGTATCAGCTTGAACCGGCAGTCAAGGTCAGAGGAAAGGAGAGAAGGGAGTCCACGGTTCAGCATCAAACACATTTATTTCACTTTTATTGAGTATACAAGAACAGAGAGCACACGCATACAGCACGGAGCACTGAGGTGGGGGAGCGAGGGGACAGAGAGAAGAGGGGAGTAAAAAGGAACAGGACAGCATTGCAGGTGGTTGGTAAGGTGCTTCTGAAAATAAAAAAGATATATTTAGAGTGATGTTGCTCATGCAATCTCAGGCCAGTCTTGGTATGTGCTTGCAGGATTCAAAAACCCAAACAGGTCCTGGCACTCCTTGTACCCTCACATGGAAAAGATCCACAGAAAGCAGAAGTCGGGAAAATAAAGGTGCGTGAGACACAGAGTGGAAAAAAGGCTCAGGCTGCAACTAGTTGCTCTGCTCGTTCAGTTCAGTGGGATGGAGTAGCCCAATGTCACATGGTGAGTTAGGAGCTGTATCTAGAGGGTCACCCCGAACTCTAACTGCTCTCTGAGGCTTTTCCCACCCGGTTACCTGGCCTCCTGGATAGAGAGGTGCCACAGAGGTCACACACACACACACACACACACACACACACACACACACACACACACACACACGAAAAGGAAAGAAAAGAGGTTGAAGACAGACAAGACAACGGATATCCTTATTCTCTATGGAATGGAGGATGGGGAAGAAACAGTGACCTAGATTTTAGCTTTGCAAATCCCTTCCTCCCTGGGCAGGGTGCTGACTGCCTCTCTGGGGGGGAGAGGGGGAGTCAGACCATCCATGGAGTGAGTGTCTCCCAAATTCTAACATCCCACAAGTTAAGCTGTGTCATTTCATCCTTTCCCTGTAGCCCACATTCATGGCAGGTGCAACCCTCCCAACAAAGATCCTCCCTGTGAGGTATGTATGTCCAGTGTGTGCGGGCCGGGAGTTCCTGCAGAGGCAGGTGAGGCCTGAGCCCAATTCCAAGGGGATAGAGCCATTCTTGCTCTTGGCTCAGAAGCGGCAGGAGCTTGCATGTTGTAAAGGGCGGGCAGGAGGTTCTGTGACTTCTCCATCAAGAATGGACAAAGATCCTGGAGCAGAGAAAATGCTCTGCCACAGTGGAGTGGGCTACCAGCCTGCACCAGGGGCATATGATTGCCTCTGCCATCTAAGAGCCTGGCTCTACTTCTCAGCTGCCACAGAGAAAAGCTATTCTAGCTTCTTGCCCTGTGTCAGGCCAGCACCTGAAAATAGGTAAGGGGTACATAGTAGGAGCCACTAACAAGCAAGCCCAGAGGACACTTCTAGCCTGGACTCTCTGAGACATTTCCAGGTAATGGCTTATCCGATGGAGGGAGTGGAGAAGTTCTGAAATGAGCCAGCTACGGTTAGGGATAGGCTTGTCCAGCGGCTTCCCAGGTCCCCCCTTTCCTTTCATGTTTCTCCTTCCACCTTGAAAATAGAGCCTGGCACAAAGGGGCAACCATAAACATTTGCTGAATAAATACACGAACTGCCTTAGCAGGGCTAGGAAGTGAAATGGGACTGCTGTAGGACATTTTCCCTTAGAAAGGGACATTGTTTGTGGAAAGCAAGCCAGACGCTTGCATATGCCAGAGTGTAATGCCAAGCTTCTGGTGGGGTTTTCTCCAAGGGCTCCTGTCATCTCAAGGCCATTTCTGAACTTGGATACTGACTGACAACCGTCTTGCAAGCCAGGGTTTAATGTAGAGGGAGCCAGTGGGCAACACTTCCTCATCCCTGCTATTGTTCTGGGATAGGTGAGGCCTTTGGAAATGCACTATGGGCCCGTCATGGCCTTCCCTGTGTTCATGGCCTCGTTATCATGGCTACTTTAACTCAGGAAGAAGAGCATGATTCACAAGACGGAAGCGGCAGAGGGGGAAGGCTGGCTGGGCATTTCAGAAAACCAGGTCAGAGCCATTGCTTTCTACCTCGGCCAGGCCACCACCTCCCTTAAGAGAAGGGATTCATCGTGACAAGGCGGTGAAGAGCACGGCAAGACATGGTGGACTACAAACCAAAACAAAGACCCTGGTAATAGTAAAACAGAAAGAGAGGACTGAAAACCAAGGCAAGCCCCTGGAGGTAGGACTAGCCTATAACCTCAGCAGCGGAGTCCTGAGCACAGACCCGGCCCTGACGGCTACTGCTGCGGGAGAAGGCATAGTGGCCTGGCATGTCTGGGACTACATCTGTGTTGCTTCCTTCTGGCCAAACCCTCACCTCTCCATGAAGGGCCCCCCAGTCTCCCCACCAATCACCCAGTTACAAACACCACACACAGTTTCACTACACTGAATCTGTCAGCCCTACTGGGAGCCGGCCACACCCAGAGTCCAGTGTCCTCGGCTGGGCCAGTTTGGCAAGATCTAGGAACCTTGGGATACATCACAGTCAGGTAATTATAACTTGAAAATGTCAGCTGCATACTTACCAGCACAGTTTATTTTAATATCTGATTCCTGTTACATGTAATATACATAACTTAAAATCATAGTCATACAATCTCCTACGAGCTGCACCTCCGTCATGAGAAACCGGAAACATACAATGTCTACTTCCCTTCCCACGGCTTCTTTTGCTCTTGTAGTCTCTTTTTCTTCCAATGAGTCATCTGCAGTGGCCCTCAGCAGGACCAGGACACAGAAGAGGAGGGTCGGGGAGAGAGGCAGGAGGGAGCTGAGACAGAAAATGGAGGCAAGATGAGTAGAAGTCGGGGGGAAGCAGGGAGCAGGAGAACAGAGAGGGGGTTTTGCAGCCCAGTGTCAAGACCCAGAAAATAACAATCGAGTAGTCCTCCCCCTTCTCCTCCATGTGGGCGACTTCCATTCTTTCTTTCTTGGAAAGTAGTTGACTGTGTGTGTCTTGCTGCTGTGCCTTCTCTTGCTTGACTACGGGATCTTATTTTTTTCTTCCTTTGCGTTAGAGGGAGCAACAGAGAGGCTGGAGAGTGGGTGGGGTGCTGCTCGTCCATCCTGGAGTGTGTGCAGCCAGGGTTCAAGGGGACATCTACAATCATTGTGGTCTGCTTTTGTAGTTTGGCAGGAGAAAGGGGTGGGGGAGCGAGAGATTATGATTGTTACATATTTTCCTGAAAAAAAAAAAACCCCACCAATTCAATTCGTCTGCAAAGGAAATGAAGGTTGTTTTGCAGATGTTGGTTGTTGCCATCGGCTGACTGCTCCGCCAGCTCCAGCAGCAGTGCAAGGACGCGGTGTTTCCTGTATATATATCTATATCTATATATATCTATATATATATGCTTTCCCTTCCCAGTCTCATCAGTGACAGTGCGTCACAGCTGGGATGTTGGTGTTGGAGAATCCAGAATGAAGGCCCCTTCTTAATGGTTCTCTGGCTTGGGTTGGACCAGACACGCCAGCATCTCTTCACGGAGGTCAGGATTCCTGGGTGCCAGCGACAGGAGAATGGGGTGGTGGGTTCAAAGGAAGGAAGAGAAGGGAAATTAGTTACTTTAGGCACTCACCTTTAAACAATGGGCAAGCAGTTCTAGCTACGTTTTACCCTGTATGGTGGCCCAGAGAGAAAGGGTGACTTATCCAAGGCCACACAGCTTACTCGTGACAGCTAAGAAATGACACAAATGAACCTAACTGCAGACTCCACGTGTTTGCCTGCTTGTTCCTGAGGAGGCAATGCCTTGCACTTTGCCCTGAAAATCTTTTCCATGGTCCTTTAATGTGGACACGCTCCAGCCACCGTCATTTTACTTTTCTCCTTTGCTCTTCTCAGTTCTGCGCTGTTTTGTCCTGGCTACAGGTCTTCTACTCTCCCATGGACCTGCTGTGGCCTGGAGATTAAACACCAGACAACAGTGCTTAAAGAAAAAAACCAGGGTCTGGTGCCAACTAAGGGCTACCTATAGAACTAGAGTTTAAGAGTGTTAACTCTGCAGTCATACATCCTGAGTTCAAAATCCACCCTCCGGCCTGTCTGCTTTGTAACTGTGGGCATGTGTCTCAACCTCTCTAAACCTTCACCAATTTCTCTATAAATGGGACCTGCCTTTCACAGGTAGGAGCCACCATAGAGGGAGCCTAGCATATAGGAATACTGAATAAGTAAATGCCTTGTTGCTACACTCGCTTCATCATAGCCCTTTCCCCCATCTTGCCAACAGCAAGGGCTACCATTTACCTACCTTCACTATTGGCAACTACTCAAAATCATTTGCACATGAACAGCATTACTGACTCTTGTCACCACATAGGATCAAGTATAATCAAAGTGTCATAAAAGAGTCCTTCTTGGGTCATTTGATGAGAAGAAAAATGATGTCTAGAAGGTTAATGGAAAGCACACAGTCAGAGGGACTCAGACACCCAGGAAAGCACACAGTCAGAGGGACTCAGACACCCAGGAAAGCACACAGTCAGAGGGACTCAGACACCCAGGAAAGCACACAGTCAGAGGGACTCAGACACCCAGGAAAGCACACAGTCAGAGGGACTCAGACACCCAGGAAAGCACAGTCAGAGGGACTCAGACACCCAGGAAAGCACACAGTCAGAGGGACACTGAGTCCCCCTAACAGAGGAGACTGATCCATTGGTCAGCAGAATGGCTACAGAGCTAGGCCTCCAGAACCCCATCAGTACAGAGCTCCTAGCACCATGGCTTCTATATCGAGCTACACAGGGACTTCATAAGGACCAGTGTATAAATAAATAGTAATTCTCAGGCAGTAGAGGTTCCAGGTCCCGCTCAGCTGATCCAGATCAGACTATCACAAGGCTTCTCAGGCAGCTTCCCCAGGGGATGTCATCAACTCTGCACTAACATGACACGTAACCTACCCTCCACCACACTAATATCACGGAGAAGAATCAGATGACTGAAGGCACTGGGATGACAGCAATCTGAAGTCTGAGTGAAATGACAGGAATGTTTTACCATGACTAACTTGCTCTCCTTCTAGGTCAGAATATACTATGGAAATAGAATGTGAGCCTTGTGTGGGATTTACTTCCCTCGTAAATAGTTTTCTAGATATCAATATTAAAATTCTTACGTATTTCAGCTGGGTGGTGGTAGTGCACACCTTTAATACCTGCACTCAGGAGGCAGGGGCAGGCTAGCCTGGTCTACAAAGTTAGTTCCAGGACAGCCAGAGCTACACAGAGAAACCCTGTCTCAAAAAACCAAACCAAACCAACCAAACAAACAAACAAAAACAAAAATCTTAGATATTTCTACTTTTCTAAATTTTTCTAGATAAATAGGAAGTTTTAATTTTCAAAATTTAAATTCTTAATGCATGTATATGTATGTTTTGTGCATGTGTGTGCATATCTGCGTGTGAGGTACACATGAATGCATGTGCATGTTTAAGCCAGAGGTCAACTTTGGGTGCTGTGGCTTATCTGTCTACATTGGCTTGTCTCTGTTTGTGTCAGGTAGAGTCTCTTCCCAGCCTGGAGCTCACCGAAGCCAAACAGGCAGGCCAGCAGACCCCAGGCACCTGCCTTGTCCCTGCCTCCCTGGCACTGTAATGCCAGCTTTCTAAAAGTGAGTTCTGGGGCTCAAACTCAGGTCCTATAATTGCATGGCAAATACTATGCAAACTACACTATTTCCCCAACACTTAAATTCTAAATTTTAATGTAATAAAAAACAAACATGTGTGATGGCTTAAATAGGAATGACCTCCATACCTCCCCCCCAATATATTTGAATTCTTAGTCCCTGGGGGTGGGGGGTGGGTGGGAGGGTGGAACTATTTGAAAACATTAAAAGGATTAGGAGGTATGGATTTGTTGGAGTAGGTGTGGCCTTGCTGGAAGTGTGTCACTGAAGGTAGGATTTGAGGTTTCAAAAGCCCATAGTGGGCCTGGGCTCAGTCTCTTGTCTCCCCCTCCCCCCTGCCTGCTGCCTGTGGATCAGGATGTAGCTCTCAACTAAATCTCCAGCACCATGCCTGCCTGCATGCTACCATGCTTCCCACCATGATAATGAGGGACTGAACCTCTGAAACTGTAAGCCAGACTCAATTAAATACTTGGTTTTATAAGAGTTGCCTTGGTCACGGTGTCTCTTCACAACAATGTGAAATTCATTTTTGATAATATTTGGGGACCTGGGGGTGTAGTAGACTATTTGCTAGTATGTGCCAAGTCCTAGGGATTGATCTCCATTGCCTTAAAAAGCAAAAGGGCCTGGGAATGCAGCTAAGTTAGTAGAATGCTTGCCTAGTGTGCAAATACCTTGGTTTTTGGCACAGCATAACACCGGGAGTGGTGGTGTCTGTAATCCCAACACTAGAGATGTACAGGCAAAAGAATTAGGAGATCAAGGTCATTCTTGGCTATAAAGTAAATTCAAGGGCAACCTAGGCTATATGAGATCCTGCCTCCAACAAAAACAAATGAAGCAAAACCCTTATCGATCATATTACTTAACTCAACATATTCCTTTTCATTTCATAAGTATTAAAATTTGCTGACTTCTTTTTCATACTAAATCTTCAAAATCCTATATGCACTTACCCTTAAAGCACATCTCATCTTGGATGAGCCATTTCAAGTGCTCAATAGTCACATTTGACAGTGATCATCATGATGGACCACATAGAACAACACTGCCACCATTACAGAAGTTCTTTTGGATGAGACTGGTCTAGACCCTGGTTAGCATTTTTTCAAATGTCAGGAAAATGTTTCAGGCCTTCTCTCTCTCAAAAGTCGGCTCTCAAAGGAAGAGGATTCTTGTACTGACTCAAGGAAAGGGCAGTGACCAGCTGCTGCTTGGGGGCCTTTGAGGTGGGCGTTTCCCATTGCGGTGTAATATATGAGCTGTATACAGTGCACAGACCTAAGAGCAATAAGAACTTGACTTTTCTTGTAGGGGGGGCAGGGAGGATAGATCCTGGTGCCCCACTCATGCTACACATCTGCTCTATTGTTAGGCTAAACCCCCAGCCCTAAAAATTTTATCTATGTATATCTTCATGTAGCTCACCCAGTTGGAACCATTCCCTACAAAGTCTTTATAGTTCTTCATTGGCACATTCTAGAGGTAGTAGTATTCTACTTTTATTCTCAACAGAATAAAAATTTTGCCTGCTATTTACTTCCAGTAAATGAAATAGCACAATAGGTACTTCCCATGTCAGTGATATTTTCGTCTTCTATGTTGATAAAATTCAGCAAGCTTCCAGAGAGGCAGAAGAATCCTCCCCAGTATAGGCTGTGAGAAGCCCAATATGTCCCAGCACTGTACTATTTAACACCTTCAATGAAATAGAAAGATATTGGGGTCCTCAGGAGTCTGGGCCTGGAGGGCCTGAGAAATCCTGGGTTTGTAAGCCAGCAAAGCAGATGGGACAAAGGTCCTGGGCATCACATCCCCTTAGCAACCACTCATAACCCTGATGGAGACAGAGACTCGGGGATGGCACCCAGACCGGCTAGAGCCTCATTTACATCAGTGCCCTGTGGATCTTCAGCACCCTTTCCTTGCCACTTGTGGACTTGCTTTTCTGGACTTGGGGTATGAAACTCTAAAGAAACCAAGACACCATCTTCCCTCCCTCATTCCTTTGGTCTAAAGCAGGGCCACTGTCTCTCTCTCGTTAGAGTCACAAGCCAGGTAGGTAAGGGTCACAGTTGTACTATCAATCTTGCCACCTGGGCTCTTAATGGAAATGCCTCTCCAAGAATCGTGTTTTTTTCCCAACAGAAACAGGGTTTCTCTGTGTAGCCCTAGCTGTCCTAGAACAAACTCTGTAGACCAGGCTGGCCTCGAACTCAGAGATCTGCCCGCCTCTGCCTCTCAAGTACTGGGGTTAAAGGTGTGAGCCACCACCATCTGGCTTCTAAGACTCTTTTTTGCTGCTTCCTCTTCCCTCTCAGACTGCTGAACCCCAGAACTGTACCTGTGGCTTCTTGTCCCTCTCCTCCGGGGATGGGTCTGTTTCTCTGTAGACAACAGCTTTGGTTACCAGCATGTCTGGATGCTGTAGCTTGGCTTCCTTGATGGCCAAAGCCAGGGCCTGGTGGGCAGAACAGCATAGTGAGACACCACAGAACAGTGACTATGAGAGAAACTGAACACAGGTCCCTACTGCACAGCTGGGGAAGCTAAGGCCCCAGAGGGCCAAGCTAAACAGTTAGCTAAACCTTCTTGGGGGTCAGCAGGGGGTAGACGCCTTCTCTGCCCAGGAGGGTAGCCACCCATAGGTCACCATTACTGGGGGGACTGGATACTGGGCTATGCCCTGGAAACACTGTTCCCTAGTCCCATACCTGATCTTGATCGACATCTTCATCCCCGGTAATGATGATTCGCTTCTCGATCCTTGTCTCAGAAAACCCTCCCTTCACAGTCTGTGGGGAGAGAAGGAGAGGGCAGGGGAGAGAAAGGCGGGGTCCCTCTTAGGTCTGCTGTGACAGACCTACACACCTCAGCCTCAGTCGCCTGACCAAGATGAGTTCACCTCTTTCCTGCCCTCCTCAGCATTCTCCTTCTCTAGTTGAGGACTTCAGACAGTAGCTCCTGCCAGGTTGTCACCACTCCCTAGCTACCAAACTGTTGCACTTACGTCTCCCACACCCAGCTCAGATGCTGCTTCCTGGTTGGCAGGGTCCCAAGGCACCCTGTCCCAGCCCTTCCCAAACACTGAGTCTGCATCTCACGCTCTTGGGCCTCTGCACGGCGCTGACCTATGTGCACGTGGCCGTGCTCACCTCTCCAGGCTTCAAGCCGGAGAATGGGGCTTGAATTTTATCTGAGCAGCCCCTCCTGGCCCAGCACCCCTCCCAGCCTCACCTGGCCAGGCTGAATGCAGATCTGCTGAATGAACACATGAATGAAATGTGAATGGTGACAAGGTTCTACCTTAAATAAATGACTCGGAACAATCTTACAAAGATACTTTGTTACCTCTACTGTTTTCTCAAGGAGTGGGGCTTCCAAGCAGAGGATGGGGCAGGGCCTAACTGCGGGGCATGTTCAAGGAGGATGCGACGGAGGGAAAGACTAGCTGGAGGTAGGCAAGGGTGAGCAGAAGGGTGTCCTGAGTGGTGAGGTACAGAGGAGTTTCCTGAGCCACACTGTGGGGTGTGCCGTGTGAGTCGTTCCCATAAAACCAGCAGAGAAGCCCCTGCTGCTCTCTCAGGGTTTTTTGAGAGGTTGCTACCTGGGAAATGTGACAAGGTGCCAAATCTACAAGGCTGCAGACAGGGCCTTGTGTAGTGTAGACAAAGGGAAAGTGTTACCAAGCAGACTTTCACTTCACTGGGTCAGCTGGACCTTCAACTCAACCCCCCCAGGCTCAGCCTGGCTCCTCAGGCCTCCAGCCACCGCTGGGCCTCTCCCGTTTTCCCTGACCCCTCAGCTGTGGACTTGCAGCAGCCTCCAGCTAAGCCTTTCCTAATTCCTTGGCTGTCAAGGCCAATACCCTCTAGGAATGCCTCCCTCCTTTGGCCAGTCCTCCTCAGTCCCCAGGCCCCGCCCCTCAGCTCTCACCCCCGCCCCCAGGCCTTAGTTCTTATCAGGTACTGACTCTCCTTCCTCTACCCCCCCTGTACCTCCTTTCTTTCCTTGCTTCACGGGGATCAAACCCAGCATCCTGCACACATCAAACAGACCCGGCCACTGAGCTTCACCCCCAGCTCGGGTGAGCCTATTTTCCCTGAGGTACATTTCCTTGTGACTAAGAGACCCCACAGTCAAATCAGCTCCAGGGTCCGATTCTGCTCTCTCATCTGTCCCCGTCTGTACTTCCTTGCCCCAAGTGAATCCTGACTTCCCAGTCTCCTGTCTGCACACTGTCTCATTTCCTACAAACACGCCTCACCTAAGTCTCCAGCAGCCAGAGCTCAGCAAGGTTGACGCTTACTAACATTTGCTTAACAAAGAATAAACACACAGTGTCTCTGCCCCTTGGGCTCCTCTACCCTCAGCTCTGCATTGAGTCTCAGGACCCTACTCAAACCCCATTGTCTCTGGTTTTATTTTTGGGTGAGTGGGAGGGTAGGGAGGACTGTACAATGATTGATAAGGATTAAACCTTTGCTAGGCAAATTGAAAACTATCTCCAGCCCTCTTTACTTTTTATTTTGAAGCAGGGCCCCACTAAGTTGCCAGCTTTCTAAGTAGCTGGGGCTAGAGGTTTCTCCTACCAGGCCTGACAAACAGTAACTTTTTTCAAATGGCACTTCCTGACTTTGGGGAGCTGCCCGCACATCACCCTTCTGAATTTTCCTGGCTCTGGGGCCTATAGGACGCAAACATCATTGTTCACAATTACTTTGGAGGAGGACATCTGACCCCACAGACTAGCTGCCAATGTTGTGTGCAAGGCCTACTCCCAACAACAGTACCACGGGACAACACACTCCACACTGGCAAACGTCCCCTCTTAGAGAATGAGGAGCCAGATGTCAGCATGGCAATGACCTTCCCACCTACAGCCCACTGGGGCCCGGGAACCTGCTGCTACTCACTTTGGTGACATGGGTGGTGGTGGAGGTTGAGAGGGTTTCCGCAGTGGCGCCGTAGGTGCTGGTGAGGACATCTTTCCCGATGATCTGCAGAATATAACCACCCCCACCCCGGGGGTCAGGTCAGGGCACTGGGCTCTGAAGGGGCAGGTGGGGCTAGGGAAGCTTTCTCAGGGAAGCAGGGCACCGTGAAGGTGAAGCATGGAAGCCACGGTGCTTTGAACCATTCATTCTGATACAAGAATACCAAATTCTTTCCAATTCTAGACCTAGAATATTCCCAAGCCCAGGGGTCTTTAACTCTTAGACTTGAAATCCCTAAGGCCCAGAGTCCTAATGACAACCTAGAATGGAAGACTCCTAGAAGAATGACCAGATGGATTCAGGTCGCAGACAGAGCCCTCCAGACCCTCGTCCTGTCACAAGCAGGAACATGCTCTCTCTGAGCTAGACACTGAGAACAACAAACAGAATGAAAGCACCAGAAAAAAGACCTCTCAGTGACGACTCAGTGTCACTGGGGGGGCAGCCACCAACAGAGCCCAGCCTAGAATCTAAGCCTCTGGACCCCAAGTTCCCTGCTCTTCCTGCTCTACAAGCTAATGCAGCAGTGTGTGTGTTTGTGAATGCTTGTGTGTGTGTGTATATGTGCACACACGCATATGTGTGTGCTCTGGTGTCCTGTTTACCCCCAGCCCCAATACCAATGCATTGGTTACATGGGAGGGGTACTGATGGGCACCTTGGGAGCCTGTGGGCATTTGAAATGGTCCTGAGCACCTCATCACTGTGGCTGTGGCTGTGTACTGGCTCGCTCAGCTCTGAGTCCCCTAGCCCCTCGCTGTACTTGCTGTGGCTGTGTGCCCGCATGCTCAGCTCTGAGTCCCCTAACCTGAGCTGGTCCTGCCTACTTACCGGTGAAAGAGAACGGATTTCCGTGGCCACCGTCTGTGGGCCTGGGATCATGGCAGCTGCCCCCTTCCCGGACTTGAGACTGTTCTCCTGGGGAGACAATAGTGCTCAGATGGCCAGGTCTCAGGTCAGTAGGCCTCCAGGATAGCCAGGGCATGTGACCATGTGGTTATCATCACCACGGTGTTGAGGAGCAACACAGACGCAGAGAGCCGAGGCTCTCATTCAGCCTCACTTGCTCAATCCCACGCACGCTCGCATGCTTGCTCACATACTCACTCAACAAACATTTGCTGAATCCCTGCTATTAGGGATGCCAAGGTGAACAAGATATGGCACTGCTCTCTGGAAGCACTAGAAGGAGTTGGGTCGCCCAGGCTCTTGTCGTGGACCTGCTGTGCACCTGGAGGCAGAGCCACTTCCTGCCTACTGTCTGTGAAAAGGGCCTTTGTCTATATCTCCAGGGAGCCCTTACAAGGAGAATATAGGGAAAGGGCTTTGTAAACCAAAAGCTGTTTGTTGGTGAATGCCGGAGTGCAGGTGAATGAACCGTGTGTGCTCTCCCAGTCCCTGCTAGGCTCTGGGTACTCTGCTAGGTGTGTGCAAGCCTGAGACCTCATTTAACCTTCACAACCACTGAAGGCAATCCTCGGCAGCGGTCCTATTCTGCAGAGGACGCACAGAAGGGAAAACTATAGTATGTTCAAGGCCTGCAGCAAGACCGTGGTGGAACCAGTCGTTAACTCCATGCTGAGCAGCCTCCAGGGCTGCTAGGTGCGTACGGTCTGAACCACACGACACTCTACCCTTGGAGCTGTCACTCTCGAGCCAGCTCCCCGTCACTCCGGATTCTGTCACTGGACTTGCTGTTCTGTATTTGCCCAAGGGACTAAGGCTCTCCCTGCTGTCCCTCACTTTTGCAGTCTCCAGCTCAGCTTTGCTACGCAATGCCTCAGCTAAATGGACGCCAGTCTGGTCTGTGCATGGCAAGGACCTGGACCACTCTCTTCCTGCCACAGCGGGGGGGGGTGAGCCTCTGCTACACCCGTTCCTGCCCTGACTGTTGGTGACCAGGTCACTTGGCACACCATCCTGAGGCGTATTCCCTACAACATCTTGGGTTCCATACTATAAAGGCCATTTCTAGGCATGTTTTCTCTCTCTGGCTTAGGGAACAGCCACCAGCCCCTTTGTGTCCTTTTAGTACTCAGACTATGCTCACATACAATTTCCTATTTTGTCTTCCCTCTCTTCCTGAGGCCAGTGTCCAAAGCTTACTTCCATATTTGTAGTGAAAACAGAAGCCAGTAAATAGGACACACATTGTTCAAAACCTAGGTGCTCCCCCGCCCTGGCTGTAGCCATAGCTAGTCCCATCTACAATCAAAGAAGCAGTTTCTCTCTCTGGGCAAGGCAACCCCCCATCCCCACCCTCAGATACCTAGGGAATTCTATTGCCTTATCGATGTCACAGTCTCCTATCCTACCTGTAGCCCAGATCTTTCTTGAACCCTAAATCTTCAAAATCAACCATCTCCTGAGCCTTTCCCTGGAAATACCCATAGGTGCCTCACACTGGTCAGATCTGCTGTAGAATTGGCTGCTTGAACCTAACACACAAGCATCACGCTCCTCTCACACTACCCTGAGGGGCATCACCTGGAGGGTTTGTGAACACAGACTGCAAGGCTTCCCCGGGTTTTTGAATTAGATGCTTAGGAGCAGGGTGGGAGAATGTGCCATTATTGCGCACCTAGGACCACACTGTAAGAACCACTGGCCAGTAGACACTGTTCCCAGTCCATCTGTCCTGTCACCTGAACGTCCCACCAGTGACCACAGGCTGCCCTTTCCTGCTCCAGGATCTCCAGCCCCTGACTCTCTGCTGCATCTATCTTCTTGAACCCTGGCAGTGCCCCAGACAGGTTCCCACCTTCTCTTTCTGGCCTCACGTGGGCCCCAGGGCTACATGCTCCAGGGCTGGATTCACAGTGCCTGGCACAGTGCTTCACATAGTGGGTGATCAATAAATAGTTATTAGCGGAAAGGAAGAGGCGGGAAGGAATCTTTGTTCCAGGCCACACAAGCAGGTAACCTAACCGACACATGCAGCTGTTGACGTGCTTCGACTCTAAAAACACCGGCGCCATGCTGCCTCCAGAAGGAAGTTTAAAGCATCCTGCATGGCACTGGAAACAATTCAAACTCTGGCTCAGCCCTTCTCTGCAGCCCTCCCCGCTGCCCTGCTTCCTGCACACACCTGCCAGCCAGCTGTGCTTCCTGCCCTTACATCTGCTCTCCACAGCTGGGAGCCTCCTGTGACGACACCTCACTCAGCAGCTCTGCTGTCCCCGACTACGTGTGACACCGTCCCCAGATCCTGCTAGCAGAGGTGTCACTCACACTTTCACCCCAGTGGTCCCTAGGGTAACTCTGTTGCACTGTCCCATGGGGCAGGAGACAGCAGCAGCTGACAGTCGGAGGCACTGAGGCCAGGCTGTGCTTGGGGGCTTTGCCCAGGGGACTTGCTCATGCTCAGGGACCCTGTACGGCTTGTGCTGTGTTGCTCCCACCCCATTTTACAGAAGGGGAAGTAAAGGCTAAGAGAGGGTCGGGTGACTTGCCCAAGGTCATCCAGCCAGGAAGTGAGAGGGTTGGGCCTTGCTCATCACTGTGCGCCCAGGACCTACATGCAGGACAGGCATTGTGATGACAACTGAACAAATGAATCCTGGCAGTAGAGCTTCTGCAGGGTCCCTGGGCTAGCAGACAGTAGACACTCATTAATGTTTTCCCAACAATGGATGGATGAATGAATGAATGAGGAAATGAATGAAATAACTGTCTACTCACCATAAAGACAAATTTACATTTAGCCTTACAAGTCTATCTCAGTGCCTCAGAGCAAGAGAGAACTGACAGATGAGGAAAACGTGCGCCCTCTGGTGACAGGTTCAGGCTTACTGATCCTAGGGTCTGTTTACTTAAAACCCACCTGCAGCGGACTCTGCCTTAGTGAAATTATCTTCTTAGGTAGAGGCCAGGGGTCAGACAATGGAAGTCATTCAAAAACAACTCTCACTAGCTCAAGAAATATCTGGATCAGGCATTGATACATTCGGTAACCCCAGACCCATAAAGCTGATGCTCACACAGGTCAGGACGGGGCAGAGCAGAGAAACTACAATGAAACTGAGACGTCTGGTATCAGAATGACCGAGGCTAAACTGGTATTTATTGGTCACGTGACCTTGGGTTCACTGCTTTATCCCCCTGAACTTGTTTTCTCATTTATAAAAGGTGTCAAAGAAAGAACAATGATAACCATAGTTCATAATCGAAGGTAAAATTTCTCAGGAGACTGCCTGACACCACAACCGAGGGCAGAATGCTGTCTGTTCTATTTTGTTGTTAAGGGCTCTAAGTAGTGGTTCTCATCCCGTGAGTCATGACCCCCACAAAGGTCACGTAATAGATATTCTGCATGTCACATATTTGCATTACAATTCATAACAGTAGCCGGGCGGTGGTGGTGCACGCCTTTAATCCCAGCACTCGGGAGGCAGAGGCAGGTGGATCTCTGTGAGTTCGAGACCAGCCTGGACTACCAAGCGAGTTCCAGGACAGCCTCCAAAGCCACAGAGAAACCCTGTCTCGAAAAACCAAAAAAAAAAAAAAAAAAAAAACAAAAAAACAAAAAACAATTCATAAAAGTAGAAACTTTACAGTTATGAAGTAGCAATGAAATAATTTTATGGTTGGGGGTCACCACAACATGGGGACCCGTATTAAAGGGTCTCAGCGTCAGGAGGGTTGAGAACCACTGATCTAGAGTCTCATAAGCAGCTGTGAGCCACACAGAATGGGGGTGACTCCTATTTTACAGACAAGGACACTTGAGGCCAAGGACTTTTCTTTACTGGTCAGATAGCAAATAAATAGCAAACTCTGCAAGGACCCTTAGACATGTCCAAAACACCTGAGTTTCCAACCCAGGTTCACTGCTGCCATCTACTGGTCATAGTGAGAAAGTGAGACACAAGAAACTGCGGCTGATTGGTGTAGGTTTGCGGGCAGGAAGACAGGGGTGGGGTGGAGGCTTAATCATCTACCTGCAGGTAAGAGTCACCTGGTATTGCAAGATTCCTGTATGCCAAGAATCAGACCATCCCACCCTCCCTCTACTCCTGCATGGCTGGGATGGTCAAGATCACTGAGACTCAGGGACCCCATTCCCCACATTATCCAATTTGGCAAACCAAAGATTGATAATATGTACAGAAGCAGCCAAGGTACCAGACAGCAGGAATCTGGTCCTCTGTCTCACCACTGTGAGGGCAACTGAGGACTTCCTGAAACGGCTGCTAAGTTCTGGCTGTTGGGGGAGGGTGAGGAGTGGGTGAGAGAGAGGAGCCTCCTGGTCCCACTTACCATGGTGGTGGAGATGGTCTCTGTGGTGATGCAGGGGGGAGTCGTCATGAAGTCTTTTCCCACTGGGGCACCCCCATCAGCCTGCAAGGCAGAGGAGGCGGCGTTAGAGATGACAGGACCACACATACCTACAGCGTCCTGCCGCCCGGCTTGTAGCATTCCCAGTTACAGAGTGGCGGGATTCATGAGGGCATGCACTGGGGGTGGTCACAGAGCATTGCAGAGGGGTCTCAGGGCCCTTCAAAGGCTTCATTTCAACCATTCTGTTGGGCAAAGGAAGCGTAACCACATGCAGCTGATGGTTTCTACTCAACCTTTGATTTAGTAATCCACAGAAGTTACCCTATGATGTCACACTGGTTAGTTTTATGTCAACCTGACTCAAGCTAGAGTCATTTGGGAAAATGCCTCCACGAGACTGGCCTGTAGGCAAGCCTGTCGGGCATTCTCTTGACTAATGATGACGTGAGAGGACACGGATCACTGGGTGGTACCATCTTGTGTAGATGGTCCTAGAATGCCCACACCTTTAACCCCAGAACTCAGGAGACAGAGGCAGGCTGATCTCTGTGAGTTCAAAGCCAGCCTGATTCTACAGAGCGAGTTCCAGAACAGCCAGGGTTACACAGAGAAACCCTGTCTTGAAAAACCAAGACAAAACAAAACAAAAAAAGTAGACTGAGCAAGCCATGAGGAGCAACCAGTAAGCAGCATCCTCCATGGCCTCTGCTTCAGATCCTGTCTCCAGGCTCCCAACTGGAGTTCCTGCCTTGACTGCCCTCAGTGATGGATCATGAAATAAACTGCAATAAGCCCTTTTCTTCCCAAGGTGCTTTTGGTTACTCTTAAAGGTTCACCAAGAAATATGAACAAGGAAACTTACCACAGCATTAAATACTGGGAAAGATAAAACCCACCACAGGGTCCACACACGGGAGATAAACAGGGATTAGGACATGCTGCCTAAGAGGACTCAGAATAGTGGACACAGGGCTGGGGGTGTATCACAGTTGGTAGAGTGCTTGCTTAGCAATGCATGAAGCTTGGGTTTGATTCCAGCCTCCATTAAAACAAAACAAAACTGGGAATGGTGGTGCAATCTGTAATCCCAGTACAGAGGAGGAGGAAGCATGAGGATCAGGAGTTCAAGGTCATCCTCAGCTGCACAGTAAAGTTTGAGGCCAGCCTGGGATACTTGGCAGGGACCCTGTCTCATGGGGAGAGAAAAAGAGAGACAGAGACAGACAGACAGAGGGAGTGACAGACAGAAACAGAGACAGAGAGAGGTGCAAATGAGTAAGTTCTAAACTATTTGAGAACAAACGGGCATGGCGTAAAAGCCAATGGTCACTTTTACCTAATGATTTTAAGTACAAACAGTCAGCATATGCCTATGTTACCCCCAGGAGACAGCATAAGGATAATATCATTCAGTCTCAACATTTTGATGTTTTGAGGTCAAGGGCTGCCAGGTTATGGGATTTGGGTAATTATTTGGTTTCTTTTTACTTTAAGTTTTAAAAAAGTTACTAAAACACAGCAAGTCAGAGAAGACAAGCAGCTTGTCCAAGGTGACCCAGTTCATGACTCTTGAGTGGCACTAGACACCTGCATAGCCGTTACTTGGCATGCTGTAACAGTAGGAGAAAATATTTCTGGAATTACAGTTGCTTGTGTTACTTTGTGTCATATTTCAGGTTGTTTGTCCTGGGGGTAGAACCCAGGGTAAGGCTGTGCCTCTGACCAATCAACCTGCTCAGCCCTCCCTTACTGCAGCTAAGACAAACACTGGCCACCAGGAGAAGAGGCTGAGCACTGTAGCCCTCCTAGGCCAGAAAAACCAGGGGTAACCTCCCAGACCAGAAATGCGGACCTACAAATCTTCAAATACGAAGATCCACAGGGGATACATGGGAAGTATGTATGAAGTTGTGTGCTGTGTCCAGGCAGGCCAGCTTTCCCAGGGTGCAAGTGAGCTTTGGCTAACGAACACACTTTAGTCATTTGACCTTGGTTTGTATGAAGTTGTGTGCTGTGTCCAGGCAGGCCAGCTTTCCCAGGGTGCAAGTGAGCTTTGGCTAATGAACACACTTTAGTCATTTGACCTTGGTTTGTTCATCTTGCCCATCTAATGTGGAACCTCCATGCATAAGAAATGACTCAGGAGAGCTGTTCTGACCAAACAGAGGCTGAGATTTCTCCTTCTCTCTCCACCCGTCAAGCCGCCTGAAAGCCATGGTCCTAACCCATTAGTCATGAGAGCTGAACACTCCCAGGAGGAAGGAGACTAGGTCACCCCCTGCTTACAGATGGGGGCACTGGTTACCTGGGTGCTGTCTGCAGTGGAGACTCTGCTCTGCAGCATGGCCTCTGGCTCAATCTTCTTTCTGATTGCCAGACTGCTGACGGTCATGGTTTCTGCTTTCACGGACTATGGGGACATGAAGGAGACACTTGAAAACTCAAGCCCAGACACACACAGTTCACAGGCAACTGATGCAGGAGGAGCCAGAGCCACCCCCAGCATGAGTAAGGCCTGACCCCATGCCCCAGGGGCTGTCTTTTTGAAGCTGTACTAAAAGAATGGCTAAACTCTATATGCTCAGTTTGCCTCACACACATACTGCCTCCGCCCTTTGGCCACTTCATTTAAACTGCTGTTCAAAGCAAGAACTACAAGCATGGCAATACCCAGGGGCCGGGCAGCAGCAGGAGACAGGCGAGGAGGCTAGCTGGCCGAGAGATGGAAATCATGTGGGATAATTCTGCTCAGGTTTGCTTTTATCATAGCCTCTGCTTTGCTTATTTATTATATAAGGAAATGTAATGTTGTGGCTTTTAATTTTAAGTCAGAGAAAACACATCAGTTGGCCACACGGGGCCCAGGGCCACCAGCTTACACACTGTACTCTAGGCACCTCAAGCCACGTGATCAGTTTCTTTTGAGTCTTCTCTTAGACCTAGCTCATGGCTTTACCCACTGTAGGCTTGATGAATGGAATCTAGTTTGTCATGTAGTTGGAAGGAAGAAGGAGAGAGGAAGGGTTCTTCCAGAATCCTATGATTTAGTCACTCATTTAATTAATCATCCCTTAGTGTTGAGTGTGAGACTGACTTACAACAGTTGCCACCTGGAGAGAGGGCAAAGCCACCAGTCACTGTCCTAACTGTGCTAGGGAATGTTAGAGTCAAAGTACAGCAGGGCGGAGCAGGATGTGGTGGGGACAGTACTGCCACCCAGGTGGCCAGAAAAGCATAGAGAAGGCATGTGTGAGCTCTGTCCTGGATTACTATCGGCACAGAAAGGGATGATAAGTCTTCCACCTAGAGAGTACAGCGTGGAGTAAGAGCCCTGGATGGATGAGCTGCTAGTTACTGCCTGGGAGGGAGGCAGGGTGGGAGGGAGGCAGGGAGGGTGGGAGGGAGACAGGGTGGGAGGGAGGCAGGGTGGGAGGGAGGCAGGGAGGGTGGGAGACAGGGAGGGAGGGAGGCAGGGAGGGTGGGAGGGAGGCAGGGAGGGTGGGAGGCAGGGAGGGAGGGAGGCAGGGAGGGAGGCAGGGAGGGCGGGAGGCAGGGAGGGAGGCAGGGAGGGAGGGAGACAGGGAGGGAGGGAGACAGGGAGGGAGGCAGGGAGGGAGGGAGGCAGGGTGGGAGGGAGGCAGGGTGGGAGGGAGGCAGGGAGGGTGGGAGACAGGGAGGGTGGGAGACAGGGTGGGAGGGAGGCAGGGAGGGTGGGAGGGAGGCAAGGTGGGAGGCAGGGTGGGAGGGAGACAGGGAGGGTGGGAGACAGGGAGGGAGGGAGGCAGGGAGGGAGGCAGGGAGGGAGGGAGGCAGGGAGGGTGGGAGACAGGGTGGGAGGGAGACAGGGTGGGAGGGAGGCAGGGAGGGTGGGAGGGAGGCAGGGTGGGAGGGAGGCAGGGTGGGAGGGAGACAGGGAGGGTGGGAGACAGGGAGGGAGGGAGGCAGGGAGGGAGGCAGGGAGGGAGGGAGGCAGGGAGGGAGGGAGGCAGGGAGGGTGGGAGACAGGGAGGGAGGGAGGCAGGGAGGGAGAGCTCAGCTAGAGGTAAAGGGCAAGGATGAGTTTCTGAAAGTCAAGGGGGCTACAAAGCAGAGAAGCCCAGATGCTGCCCCTGCATCTTCCCCAGAGGCTGCGTCTTCTCTTTTCCTAGAGTGTCCATTGCCGCCCCACAGTCTCAGGGCCCCATGGGTTTAAATAACGGCCTCTTCTGCAGGCCCCAGTAAAATGAGCCCTGGCCTGAATCAAGAGAAACTACTCAGGTTTCAGACCAGCTGTAGGAGCCTCTAGAGTCCATAGATACATGCTCTCGGCGTGTGCCATGCAACACAGGCAAAGGGCTAAGGAATCGTCAGTAAGACTGGCATCACTTGACCTCAGCAAGCGATGGGGGTCATAGGGTTAAACACCATGGAGCATGTGTTAGGGGTGAACCGACAGCAAACATGCGGTTGCAGAACCATGCTGTTCTACGGAGGGGCAGTCATGCAACACCAGACAGAGCTTCAGGCTGCAGCCGATGGCTGGTCTTCTCACACATGGCCCAGGGCCCTCTGAACATGCAGTGGTCTGTTGGACTGGATCTCCATGAAGCTCCACTGTACCTCAAACTGGGGCATTTCTGGGGTGGAGCAGGCCCCCCGATCCGGGCTGTCCTCGATGCCCCCAGACTCATCCTCTTGGCTGGAGGGCCCCTTGAGATCCCGGGAAAACACCAGGCCTTCGGTCTCAGAGTCGCTCTTATCGCGGTCGAGCTCAGGGAGGCTTCGGGAGAAGTCTTCGAAGGCGCTGCCGTGGTAGTCGCCGATAACTGTGAAGTCCACCTCAGCCTCCAGGCTGGATGTGGAGCTGACCGTTATGCTGGAGCACTTGCGCTCGATGGCCAGGTGGTTGTCCTTTAAGAATACCGCATCCCTCTCCTGGTCCTGGTCCTCATCTCCTGTGTCACTCTCTGGGGCACGAGGACGTGGTGGTTTGACTTTCTCCTCCGAGCCCTCCCTCAGCCCTGCTCTCTATGGCCAGATAAAACCAGGGGAATGGGGATATGGGGTGGGGAGAGAGAGAGAGGTCAAGACAGTGAATGTCAGAAGAAATCTCCATGTTGCAACGATGTTCCCAAATGGAAGAGCAGGTCAAGAAATGAAAAACACGCCCCAGAAAAGTTTCCTTGGAATCTAGCACAAAAGAAAACAAAACAAAAACTTCTCAGAGCGGAGATGCTCCTTTGGAGGGTCTCACATGGACGGCAAAGTAAGCTGACATCCTTCCAGCAAGCTCTGGACAGGAGGCCCCTCCAAGGCTAGAATCCAAAGCCTATCAGAAGCGGCATTGCGCAAGAGGCAGGGATGGAGACCTGGACCACAGGCCCATCCGTGCAGGAGGCATTGAGAGGTAAACTGAGGAAGGAGGTCAGGGATTCAGGGGAACCCAGGGGAGGAGGCAGAGAGGCTAGAGCTGGGAGCTTGAGGGACACAGAAGCCAGCAGCCTGTCAATTGCACTGAGTCTCTGCGGGAGGGCCAGCATCAGCTAGGGGAAGGAGAAATACTGACCCAGGCCCTCTGGACTCCAACTTCCTGGGAACCATACCAGTGCCACCTTGAAACTCTATGGCAACCATGGAGAGGAAGTTCTGACCCCATCAGTGTAATTGACAACAGCAGGCCAAGGCAATGCCCAAGGAGAACCAGCAAACTTTGTCCTAAATACATACCTCTCAACTGGCCTGTACGGATTAAACACTACATGTTTTGTTGCTGTTTGTTTTCGTTTTTGTTTTTGGCTTGGTTTGTGACTTTTTTTTTTAAAGAGCAATCTAACACTCACAAATGTTTTGAAAAAACTCAGCATCGGGCTCTGGAGGTTCAGTGTGATTCAGAGATTCATTTGCTAACCAGCCTCCACTTGGCCAGGTTCTGGAAGGTTGAGAGGTGTGAGGGAGACATTCCAGACAAGCCAGAGTGTGAACAGCCACGGGGGTTCGCTGCTAGAGCAGGTGAGAGTCTAGGGAATGATGCATCCCAGCCAGATGAAGATGACCAAGTCATCAAGGCAGAGGGACTGCAGAGACCTGAGGGCCCGGAGGGCTGGCGAATCTCAGGCGCCCCCCCTTCCCAGGGGGGTTTGGTGCTAAGCGGCTGAAGAAGCTCTTCTCTTCCCTGCCCGCATCTCCGGACTTGTTCTGGATTGGAGAAGACAGTTAGTCTTAAGGAGGAAGAAAGGAACTGGGGAGGAGAAGCAGAGTGGAGGAAACCTCTGGATTGTCAGTTTCCACAAGGATACCAGGGATGGGGAAGGATGAAGAAAGATCACTGGATAAGCCAAGCAAGAGAGGGAGGAATCTAGCAGGTGGCACGAGCAGGGCAAAGCAAGTATGTAATTTGCTGCTGGTGGTGGCGCCTTCTCTGTGGCCACTGTGTGACCCTGCAGACATAAGGTCACACCAAAGGCTAGGGGATCTAAAAGCTAACAAGGGCTGAGCAGATGGCCCCGTCTTTCAGCCTGGGCTCTCTCAGGACCATGTAGGAGAAGACCTTCTAGGGATGAAGGAGCAGCATCATTGCAGGAATGATGAGGGGCCACCGAAACATGCCTCTAAGAAGCTACACAGCATGCGGTCAGGTTCCACAAATGGGGACTTGGTGGGCGTGGGGGCTCACGTGGCCAGTTACCCCAGTAGCTTCCTCCAGCGTGGTTTCACAGCCTGAATCAGGGGACATGAGCTCTGGTTCTGTGCATCTTTCCTGGTGGGAGGTAGCAGAGGTGCCCTCCCCGTGGTGCTGGGCAGCCAGAGGCATGGCAGAAGAATGTGTAACTCTGGGGCTGGCCAAATCCCCAGGGGGCTGGAGTTGGACAAAGCCCAAGTCTAGAAGCCTATTTCGCTGATGTTCTACCTGCCCTGGTGAGGCCCCTGGAGGCAGCTCGTGAGGAAGGGCCCTCATTTCACCCTGACTGGCTCGGCAAATTTCCACTCCATGGGTCTCAAATATCCGAATCTTGTTAGCCACTGAGGTCTTGCTAATATCTTCCTGGGAACCCCCTTGGTCCCCAGCCTGGAGCAAAGTCTCTTTTTGCTTTCCTGAAGGGACCACAAACCCCAGGAATGCAGGTCCCTCGGTTCCTTCAGGGACAACTCTGGGCTTCTTGCTGGTAACCGGAGGTGCTTTGCGTGAACCCCGTGTGTCCTTGGGCACGGGACTCTCTCCAGGAAGATGGGAGTGTCTGAGAACTACAGGGAACTGATCTCCCAAGGGATCCCCAAACAGCAAAGTCTTCTCTGACTCAGGAGAGACTGGACTTTGAGAAGTGCCCTCCACAGCTGCCAGAACCTCGACATGACCGGAAGAGGCTGGCAGCGGGATGACTGCCTCTCCGCCCTCTGTCTTGGGTTCTACAGCCTGAGTGGAAACTGCCTTCTTCTCTTTGGGCAGAGAGCTGCTTTGGTCTGGCCTGACTGGCTTCCTAACGTGAGGAGGGATGGTCCTCAGAAGGGCACAGGCCTGAGCATCTAGGTGCACCCCTCCTCCTCCAGGGGGATGCTTCTTCCTTCTTGCAGGAGAACTTTTCTCAGTCTCTCCCATCCAATCTGCGCTCATGGGGGCCTCCTCATCTCCAGCTACCCCAGCCAATGGGTAGGTCAGCTCTCCTCCCCAGCCCTCGTCAAAAGTCTGCCCCACAGCAGCTCTCTGCAGGTCATCAGGCCTCCCATGGTCCCTGGGAGACCAGGCTTCTTCCTCTGAGGAAACCATATGGGTTTCATCTTTATTCCGGCTGGAACCTGGGGCAGAACCCCTGGGGGCTGAGAGTTCCAGCTCCCAGTGCTCTGGGTGCTCCCCTGCCAATGCCATCCAGGTCCCATCTCCAGGAGGAGCATCCAGGTGCCCTTCTCTGTCCTCTGAGGGTAGGAAGAGAGCTTGGTCTTCTTTCTCTCCATAGTTTAGATAGAAGCTCCTCTCTGCGAAGGAGGTGTCAGTCTCATCGCTTGAGTCAGCTCTGGCTTCTGCCTGGGCTGGATCCAACAAGAAGGACTGGAGTCCTCCCTTGTCTGATGCAGGAGAAAAAACTTCTCCCCACACTGGCCCAACCCCTATAGCTGGAGGTCTTCCCCAAGTCTGGGGCCCCTCCAGCCCCCTGCTCAGCTCTACTTGGCTCTCTAGCTGACCATCTGAGATGCGGTGGCTCCTAGTCGTGAGCGTGGAGCTCTGGAGAAGCTTGTCTGTTGATGTGAAGCCTGCAGCTTGGGCAGCCTCTCTGGGGCCCCCCTTGACACACACGCCGTCCTCTCCCAAGGTCTCAGATGGGTTTGCAGTCATCTTCCCTTGCTGACGGGGGCTTGCTCTTCGGGCTCCTACTGCTTCTTCTGTGGCCACTTCAACCTTGAACTTGTCCACCAGAATGTCTACCTTGGAGAGTCTGCCATCAGCAAGGATCTCAGCGAGGCCTGCCTCACTTTCTTCCCGGTGTGTGGGGGCCACTGCTAGGAGGCCAAGTTCTTGTGGCCTAGTGCATACTCTTTCTATAAATACCCAATGCTCTGAGCCCTGTGTTTCAATTGGAGCAAGAAGAGTTAACATGAAATAGCAGGCACCTGAAGGGATGGCCTCTTCCCTCTATAAGAAAGGACCAATCTACCACCAAAGGGTTTGACACTGGGACCATATGTCCTAGGAACTGGCCAGGGACAAAAAGGGGTGGCAAAACCCATCATCATTGTCAAAGTTCTTTTTCCCATTAAGATCCCCAATAAATTGACTGACCCTCTTCAATCACTGATGCCACCCCGATACAGCGGATGGAGTCCTCTGTCTCCCCAGGAACAATGGGAAAAGGGAGATCCACAGGCGGGCCAGGCCTCGTCCTCTTCCTCTCGTAACTATTTCCCACTGCCAGCACTCACATCACAAGGAATCTCTGGATGTTGAGCCCAAAGAGCTCCAAAGACATCCAGTATCATCTCCTTTCAGGGGGAAACTGAGGTCTAGAGGAGGCCAATGACTTCGTTGCAGCCATTGTTGATGTAAGAGCAGGAAAACAATAGCGGCTTTTTGATGTCTGAGCTCTTTGCTGACTTAATGAGCAGCCTTGAAAGACAGGTGCCAACTGGGATCTGATGTCAAGCGGAGAGAAAAGAGTGAGCTGCACAGACCCCAGTCTAAAACATGATCACAAGGGCTTTCGGGAAGGAAAAAGATCAGCAACGATATCAAACAGACAGTTTAGCACCTTTTGAAGCAATGGCTTAAACAGCCTGAACACTCTGGAGTTCTGCCCAAAAGAAATGATTTTAAGACCATTCCTTGGAGAATTCTAACAAAAACCCATGGAAAGAATAGAAAAGAACTGACCAGATCATACCACAGAAGAAAGAGACCACAGGCAACATCATCACAGAGCAAAAGAGACAGAATGACACTATCAACTTTCACAGAACAGCCCTCACCCATTTCCAACAGCTTAGAGGTAAGAATGGGTTTCTCAAATCATTAACAGCCATAAGACCATTGGGATTTTAGTCTTGGAACCACAGAATACTTTCTCCATCCATTAAAAGAGGTCCATCTTTTAATAACTGCATAAGACTGAACATCCCTGGGGAAGCTGCAGGCCCGCATGGTCCCACAGCCTTAAGATCCCTCCTTCCTTTGAAGTCACAGCCTTCAGGATGCAGACATGGAAGCCAACTTCCAAATGTAGGCCTAGGGAAGGAAAGCAACTCCACCACCGGTCACAGAGCCTAGAACCCAAGACTTGATTCTGAGTTCTTTAAAGTCTACCTTTCCACCCTGCCAAGACTGCCTCCATGACAGGTGTGCCTGACACTCCTCCCAGAGGCAGGAGACAGAGGCTTACATGACCTCGAGCTCCTTTTCAGGTTATGACTTGGCAATGAGTCTGCCACACCCATGAGATCTGAAGGAGCTGGAAGGATCAAGGAGCACTGCAACCCCTTTTCCCAGGTCAGGGAACCGGCCTCATTAACAGTCTTACCAGTAGGGAAGAGATCAAAGGAAGGTACAGACGCAGTCTGCTATGGCTGTTGTTTCAGATGTCTGTGCCTGAACCTCAGAGCGATGTGTTCTGCTAGCCTGCAGCGTAAGGACCCTTCTCATCCCCTTGGAAGCAAGCTGTGCCAGTTGCTTCCATTTCTGCGTCTAACCTTATCAGCCTAGTGATAGTGGTCAAAGCTGGCCAAGGAGGTCCCTTCTGGAATATTCCCACTCCAACCCTATCTAGCAAATAGGCTAGATGAGCAACAGTGTGTGGGGGTGGAGGCTGGCACAGATTAGAAAGATTCTAGAGGCAGAGAAGGGAAAACACATGGTAATGTTTAGTTAGTAGATGTCAGGCAGCGCCAGCCCTCATCTACATAATTAAATTTACTCCAATTGGCAACTTTGTTTCAGAAGGGGAAACCAAGGCTTCCACTGAGGAGATCTGCCCAAGATCACTCGGTGGTGGGGAAGAAACAAGGGCTCTCCTGCTGAAAAGCAACAGTTAAAGATATGTGTGGGCAGGGGCGGGATTTACTAAAGAAAAGGACGATTTTGCCCTCATCATAAGACAGGGCCACGTTAGGGTATCCGTAGATAGGTCAGCCTCCTGCTGTTCCCTCCGCTGTCCCTGGCTCTTGAGCGCCTTGCTTAGAGCACCTCCTGTCATCTGATGGCACTGCTTCTGCTCCAGCCACAGCTCTGCTTCATGCCAGACAAGAAGAAACTTGGCTGTTCAGGCCCCACCTGAAACTCTGGATTACATTTTGGGTCAGAGGGGGTTCAAGAGGGGGGCTCTCTAGAACCCACACCCTAGGAGAAACTGTTAGAAGAGGGGCAGAGGGAAGGTGTCCAGTCTCCTGAGGAGTGTCCTCAGCAGGTCTGTGGCCACCAGGAGGCAAGAGGAAGCTCGCGGGCAACTTATCAGAAGAGCAGACTTTGGCCCAGCACTTGTGAGGTCAAAGCAGGAGGACCACAAATTTGAGTCCAGTCAGGGCAACACGGAAAGACCTCGTGGAGGGAAGAATGAGGCGGAGGGAGGGAAAGGGATGGGAATGGGAAGGTGGGAATGAAGGATGGAATGAATGAATGATCCTGTTGATGGCTGTAGACAAAGGAGAGAGGCTGATGTGACAGGCCACTGATAAAAGGTGCACATCTTGGTTCACCCCTCATAGACACCAGCCTTGTTTCTAAGAGCATCTCCAGACAGTAGGACATCACCATGTCCCTAACTCTGGGATGCTGTTGACTCCTGTCTCACTGCCCTCAAGAGAGGACACTGACAGGGTTGCTTTAGTTTTCCATGGGCGAAGACTTCAGGGAGAGCTCTGGTCTGTATTTCCCTTGTCTTGCACTTGCTGAAGTGTTCCCCTCCTACACTGACAACACACTCACAGCAGCCGCACAGGTTCCCTCTGTGGAAGGAAAAAGGTCTGTGTCCTCACAAGCCACACCAACAGACAGAGAGGAGGCTACATGAAGGATATTCCCCAAGCCAGTTATTCCCGACTCAACAGGTACATAATCCCAGTGTGGGGCTGGGTGGGATATGGGATTCCATCCCCAGCATCTACACAGGGCCACAGAAACCCAAGAACCCTTGACCTGCTCTTCTGGACAAACAAACAATGCCCTCCTCACTTAGAAGGATATTTTTGGGAGGAAGATATGGACTTTTGCCTGACTAGAGACTCAGACCAATGCCCCAGATGGGTTTAGATAGCTGGAAGCAGGGGAGGATGTAATACCATGTCCTAGCTACCCATAGACTACAATCAGGCTTCTAAACACAGCCAAGATCTCAGGGCAGGACACACTCAAGGGCCAAGACACTCAAGCTAAGGGTTAGAGCCTGCCTCCAGAGAGGATCACCCCTGCTCTCTTCTCCATGGCAGAGTTTGGTCTATTCCCCTCACCCCAGGGAAAGGGTTTTCTTAAGATCCTGGAGGGTGGACAGGGATGGGCTGGAGAAGGGATGTGGGGAAGTAAAGACAGTAACCTCAGGAGATGCTGCCAGGCTTTTCTGAGTGAACACTTCCAAGCCTGCTGCTGTTCCAGGTACCAAGTCCTGCTGAGAAGTGTCTTGGGTCCTCTGGGCCTGCAGGGGAGGCCCAGGGCCAGAGGAAAGGGAGGGAGGGAAGAAGGAAAAAAGAAATGAGAGATTGAGAGAGGGTGAGAGAGAGAGAGGGAGGGGGAGAGAGGGAGAGAGGGAGAGCAGAAGAGACACACAAAGTCTGTAAATACTCCAGCTTTGTAGGCCCCGCATTGCTTTGTTAGTTCACAGATTCAGTCAGGAAGGAGCCACCATGAGAGGGGAGACAGGGAGGGACAGCTGTGGCTGGCTGCAAGGCAATCCTGTGACTTTTGGTCAGTCTCTTGTGCCCACTAACACTCAAGGGAAGCTGGAAGTTCACAGTTAGACTCTGACTTCAAGCCTGCCTGTGGTATCATGGGCTTAGACCATGGTTTGAACCTGTAGCTGGGGTCACAGTCATAGCTTTTAAAACTTGTCCTTGAAAAGCTGAGGAGATGCCATAATTAATAAAGTTCTTGTACACGTATGAAAATTGGGTTCGGATCCCCGGCACTTGTGAAAAAAGCCAGGTGTTGCAGCACACATCTGTAATCCCAGCTCTGGGGAGACAGGAGGATCCCTGGAGCTCACTGATGGGCCAGCCTAGCTGAGTCAGTGAGCTCCAGGCTCAGTAAGAGGCCTTGTCTCAAAAAGTAAAGTGGAGGGGCTGGCAAGATGCCTCAGTGGGTAAAAGTGCCTGTTGCCAAGCCCAAAAACCCAGGTTCAATCCCACAGGGAGGAAGGAGAGATTTAACCTCTGGCCTCCACATGAATGCATACACACATACATGAGTGATGTACATGAGCACACACCCACACAAACACATACACACCCACACCACCGACACCACCCCAAACACAACTGACTTTCAAACTAAAACCTGGGTTTGCCCATTGGGGATTGTTCAAGTTCCTTCCACTTTCTCCTTGGCGTGGGTAGGACTCAGCATGCTCTGAGATGACTAAGAGAGTCCTGGGTGGTATGCCCTCAGAGGGTCCTCCACAGAACCATTTTGGGCCAGAGATTCTAGTCTCCTTCAGCAGTGGTCCCATAACTATCAACACTTCCTAGAGAACAATGAGCTTCTATCTTCACTGTTTCAGCTAGCCTTGCCAATGACCTCCCAATGGAATGACATTCTGGTCCCCTTTCAGAGGTGACATCACTCACCCAAGGACAGAGTCAGGTCCTTGTCTATGGCTCTTCCCATTTTGGAAATCTTAAAGAACCCATAAATCCCAAGGGACATAAAGGACAGCCCTAAATGGTTCATAACTCCAAGGTTGGCTCCTGTACTTCCCAGGAGTGGTAACTGCAGATTTCAGGTAACCTCTATCTTCGGTAAGGTCCCTCTGCTGGCAGCTCCAGTTGTCACCAGCAGGTGGAGCACACCCCCGATTCCAGGTCCTAGCTGACCAGCATTCATCCACTTACTGCACCTTTCTCTGCTGACATCGCACCCTTTGGGTAGCTTCTATATCACACTTCAATTGCACCTAGGCCAAGACCTGAGCCACCTCAGGACTGTTAGAAGTTACTCTGGCCGAGTCTTTTCCCTAGGGAATGAGGGGTCAAGAGGAGAGTGCTGTGTACCAGCTCAGTACATCATGACCACAGTTGAGTCTGAGGTCTTGGTTACAGCCCGAGGGCCATGTGCATCCTGGGTAACTACAAATGCCGATTGATACATGTGTAGATGACAATATCATGTCACAGTGTTTAAGTAGGTGTCTTCTCTCAGGATAGCAGCCTTCAATGCCCCACAAAGCATCCCTAACTGTGTGATTTTGGCAGCCATGGAACCCCAGCTGTGTCAAGAGTTTATAGCTCACAAGGAAAACCCTCTGCCATCCAGTGAGCTCAGACCATGGCAAGGGCCAGGTGAATAAACACTCTACAAATTAAATCATGGCTGTGCCACCAATGTCCAAAGCACTGGAGAGAAAGCACGTATACAACTAACTCTATGCCTAGTCTGCACACAACTTGGACTGCTCGAGGCTGTGAATTCATGACAAGCACAATGATGTGAACACAACAAGCATAGCTATCATGCTGAGTCATCTCTCTGGGTCTCAGTAAAAGCAGGTCTTTGAACAGAGAGGGTTCCCAGGGTCCTTCCAGTTTCGATTTGGAGATCTGCAAACGCCAACTAGCTCATACTAGACAGCATGGTGGCCATGAGGTCACTCTCCAGGCATCATCTCATCTGACCCTTATAACATCCACCTAACAGGGCCTCAGGGAGATGAAGTAACAAGCCAGATCCTCCAGCTGACAGGTAATGGAACCAGGAGCCTAAGTTTAGACCACAAGCAGCTCGAGAGGGAAGATACCTACCCTGAAACTGGGGTAAATCCTGGCAAGATTCAGCAATTGCTAAAAGTAATAGCTTGGGCATATAAATGCAGGATTTTCCCAAATTGTATCTTCTTCAATTGAGCAAGTACCCCCAGATTTTCACCCTGAAGAGCAGGACATATGGGGTCCTTTTGGGAAAGCCTCAGGAGTGGTCTGGGTTATTATGGAGGTCTCACCCCACTAGAATTCTTCCAGCAGGGACCATGCTCCCCCCATACTGTCACATAAACTCTAAGGGGGCTGGTTCCTGTGTAGGGCTTCCAGGGTTCTCAGAGTTGAATATGCAAGAGACTTGCCTAGGCCACTTGTTCCAAGGCCTGTTCCAGGGCTTTCTTGGCAAACAGCTGCTTTAGTGGGTCCCACATGTGGTCTTAGAACCTGCACTTCTAATAAGCCCACTTTCCCCATTTTTCTTTACTTGATTGAAGAGGAATACACCAAACTACCAGGAGCTTTTCATGTTTTAAGATGGTCCCTAGGACCCAGTGATTAGTGGATTTGACCCTCTCAGCCTAACCTGCCTGCCCATCCCACCAGCCTAGGGCAGCAACAGGCACATACTTGTGTGGTAGATGAATGTAAATATATACTTAGCCCCTATCCCTACCCCTGCCCTGTGCCTCTTTACCCAAGGTCCCCGTTGAGGGCTTCAGCAGAATACCTACCTCACTGGCTTTCTCCGGGGTGCCCTTGGGGGAGGGGGAGGCGGGTGACGAGGGCAGCCTGCGCTCCCGCTCCCAATCTCGATCCCGGTGGATCAGTTTGCTGTTGGGCTCCTTCAGGGTCCTCTTGAGCTCATTGATGCTGGCCTGGTGCTTCAACAGGACATCCTCTGGCTTGTCCAAGAACTAGGCGTGGGAGGAGGGACAGAGGTATGAGATGATTAGTGAATAAGGCACAGGAAGATTAGCATCAGCGTCCTCACCATCCCATGCCAACACCGTCACCCTCATAATAACCCAAGGATGACAAAGGGGACAGCCTAACGAAGTTGCTCCCTCTTCTCCCCTGCCTACCTTACCCCAGAACATTCGGCTCCACTCAACCCTCAAGCCTGGGTGAGTTCCTGCCGTATTCTGAGCCCAGATGGAGTGAGACACACAGATACACAGATGACTTTCCTGCTTATGATCCAGGTACAGCAGGCAGCATGTACCAAGGTGAGAAGTCCCTGGTGCATTCACTGAGCTGCACAGGCTTGCTGGCTGGATTCCCAGAACCCCCTTGAATTCTGGCTCCTCCCTCTGCTCAAGACTTGGACCACTGTACTTAATAGCATGTTCAGTCTAGGCTCTTCTGATCCCCCATCCAACTGCTCAGGCCCCGTGGAGGCCTGGGATAAAGATATGCTTAAGATGGGTTGTCCAGAAAAATGGTCCCTGTTCCCCTCTTCTGGGCCAGGAAAGACTATGCAGCCTTCTGTGCCATGGACCGCTGCCTTCTCCATCACAGAACCTCCCAGATGCCTTCTGAGTCCTCGCTCTCTAAAAGCAGACAGAGTCAGATGCCATCAGCGAGACCAGGATGCTGGATGGTGTGGAAGTGAAGTTCGTGTGGGGTGAGAAATTAGAGATGAGGGAGAAGAGATGAGCAGTGAGTCCATGCCAGTGTTACAGATAGACCAGTCTGCTTGGGCCCGGTGAGGATGAGCCACAGAGAACTGCCTGTTGGTCATCTGCCTGCTTCTGGGAGGGAAAGAGTGCTGGCAGCCCAAAGACTATCTATCTGCAAGGCTATTTGAGAACTACCTGGAAGATAAGCTTGCCCTTGGTTAGGGTCAGACTCTTCCCCTGGGTTCTTCTCAGGAAGAAAGCCAATCCCACCGAGGCTTCTGCTTTCTCCACAGACACCTGACTGGACCTCAGGCCTCCCTCCCAGGCTAAGCTGACTACAGACCATGTGTATCTGAGAGGTTAAGTGGGTTTGTACAGGGGGGTGAGAACAGACTTAGCCTAAGATGATCTCAAATGGCCCTGCTGGCCCTGTGGTAAACTGTGCCCCCAGAAACTGGAGAGTGGTTGGGCCCTGGGATCCCTAGAGGTTAAAGGCCTTGGAGGGGTGAGTGTCACAACCTGACACAAGAATGAGGAGGTATAGCTGAAGTCACAGGTAGTCTGCACGCCTGTTGTGAGATAGGATCAGGGCCCAAGGAGCCTTTCTAAGTCAGCAGCGGAGCTGGGCTGAAGCCCGGATCTCAGGATGCCATGGCTGGGCCCTGACTGTGGCCTGCTCTCAGCAGCCCGAGAACAAACTGCATCTCCAGAGAGACCTGGACATTGTGAGGGGGAAGAGGTGGGGGCGGGAGGCAGAAGTTGATGTAATCATTGACTAGGAAGATGAGAGATGGAGAGGAGGTATCCAGGGAGGCATCAGCAGCCTGCTCAGGGAGGCAGTGGGACTGGGATATGAAAAGATGCAGACGTGCCCTGGGGGTCCCCTTCCCACCCAGGCCCCACCCTCACATCTGGTTGTCAAGAGATACAAATAAGCAGATGGGATGTGGGTGTGGCCAAACAGTGTTACTGGAGAGGAGATGCAGCTAAGGGAGGGGAGGGTGGGAGCAGCTAAATGAAAGCACACAAGTGGGGGAGGGGAGAGAGGCAGCCAGAGATCGCCAGACTCCCAAAGAGGGATGCTGGGTGGAGGGCAGGGCACGTGGATGGGGCTAGAATCTGACCTGGGAGCTGAAGACACGAGCTTAATGGGGAGGGCAGTGACCAGAAAGGAAAATAATGGAGAGGAGGGTATAAAAATGGGCAGAAATGAAGTTGAAGCTGAGGTGGTGCCAGGGCCATGAGCTGGGGACAGGGTAAGATGGTGACAAATGATGGCTGTCGAGGGAGAGATGGGTCCATGCAGTACCTCCTGCTTGTGTCTTGGCGTGGTTTCCTGCTCCGGCTGGTAGGATAAGGCAGGAGGGAAAGGAACCAGCAGGGTCAGTAGAACAAACAGATTAGAGACACCACAACCAGCCTGGTCCAGCAAGGTAGCTCTGTGCATTCATACCCAATCCCACCATGCAATGTGGGCCAGGAGAGATGCTAAGGTAATAATAGTATTGAGGTAGTCAGAGGAAGGCATGGGGTAGGAAGCAGGTGGCTAGCCCAGAGTGGGTAGAGCATTCACAAGTTGATGTGTGTCGGGCATTTCACCTGTAACAGTGAGCATGTGATTAGGGGCCTGTGTTCACACTGCAGAACTACATGGCAGGAAAGGACAGCTCAGCGATGCCAAAGAAGCCACGCCTGGCCTATGTGTGGCCAAGCCTGTGAACATGCTATTATCATGTCTGCAAGAGTCCAAGGCTGGGGTGCGGATGTCACAGAGTAAGGCGGGGCTGTGTGTCTGCAGGAGCATGTACATATTACACACACTGGGGTGTGGATGTCCCAGCATGAGGGCGGGGCTGTGTGTGTCTGCAGGAGCATGTACATATTATACACACTGGGGTGCGGATGTCACAGAGTAAGGCGGGGCTGTGTGTGTCTGCAGGAGCATGTACACACACTGGGGTGCGGATGTCACAGCATGAGGGCGGGGCTGTGTGTGTCTGCAGGAGCATGTACACACACTGGGGTGCGGATGTCACAGCGTGAGGCTGGCCTGCAGGAAAGGACACAGTTAGACTTCTTACTGAGGCCCTTGGTGACCTGACCATGCTCAGGGGAGGAGAGGAGACACGGAGCCAGACCACAATTAAAGGGGATATAGAGCAGGAAACGGGAGTGGGGTGGGGGTCCTGAGTTTCCCAGGAGGTAAGCACCCGTGAACCAGAGAAGCTGGGTGAAAAGGGGGCAGCATGCCACTTCCAACCCCAACCCTACTCTGCATCTCCAGGTGTGGAGTACTGCCCAAGGCCAAGGTCCTGCCGGTGGTGGCCCCACAGCAAGGGTGCTTGGACACAATTAGGAAACGTGAAGGCCAAGCCTAAGTTTAGGCCTCAGGCCACCAACCAGGTCCCCTGAGAATAGGATACGCAGCCACCCAGTGGGCTCCTACCTTCAGCTCCTTGATCTTTGTGGGGGTCCTGAGCTCTCCTTCTTCAGCCTCTGATCGCCGTCCCCCTGACTCAGCATCTTCTTCCCGCTTGTCACCGTCAGGCCCTGCATCATGATTCTCACTGACTGAGGCAGGGCGGGAGAACTCCGCTAAAGTGGACAGAGGTGGTGGAGTGTCTGTGAGGCATCTCCCTGTGCACAGTGTGGGATCCAGCCACGGCCCAACGCTCCCCACTGCAACCACTGCTCAGTCCTCCCCACTGCTCAGTCCTCCCCACTGCAACCACTGCCCAGTCCTCCTCACTGCCCAGTCCTCCCCACTGCCCAGTCCTCCCCACTGCCCAGTCCTCCTCACTGCAACCACTGCTCAGTCCTCCTCACTGCTCAGTCCTCCCCACTGCCCAGTCCTCCTCACTGCCCAGTCCTCCCCACTGCCCAGTCCTCCCCACTGCAACCACTGCCCAGTCCTCCCCACTGCTCAGTCCTCCCCACTGCCCAGTCCTCCTCACTGCCCAGCCGTCCCCACTGCCCAGCCTGGTCCACAGCTGGAGAGTCACAAAGCGACTTCCTAGCCATGGGTTCCTTTCTACAGCACTAGTGTCTCAAATCCAACCCTTCCAGGCTGGGTGACAGTGGATAAGTTACACTCCCTCTGGGCCTCAGTTTCCTCATCATTAAGTAGTATCTATGCCAGAAAGATGAGGTAAGGACCCAATAAACTAAGGTGTATAAGTACTTTGGAGAGTATCAGGCCGAGAGTAAACCTTCCATCCATGCTGATCCAGCAAACATTGCTGTTTGTATTGTGGTCCTTGGGCAATTCCCAATATATCATTATCTAGCAATACCCAGATATCATGAGACTAGCTTTTATAAGTGACAGTAGCTTCAAATGATTTGCTTTCTCTGTGAGTTAACAAGAATTCAAAAGGATTCCTGTAATGTTCATCTCTCGCCACAATTTTAAAATATTTTTCTAAAGAGAAGAAGGGTGGGCTTAGAGACTGCACCAGGCCCTGGGTATAACCCAAAATGTTGCAGACTGAAGCCGGGCATTGGTGGTGCACGCCTTTAATCCCAGCACTCAGGAGGCAGAGGCAGGTGGATCTATGTGAGTTCGAGGTCAGCCTGGTCTACAGAGCGAGTTCCAGAACAGCCTCCAAAACAATACAAAGAAACCCTGTCTCAAAAACAAAAACAAAAACAAAAACAAAAGTTGCAGACTGAGCCTTAGTAGGAAAAAGGCTGCGAAAACCCCTCATGATGACAACCAGAGTACACACATCATTCTTTGGGTTGGCCACCATTAAAGCGACATGCCAATTGCCTTTCCTTTCCCGGTTATTTCCCTCTGCAAAGTGCCAATTCCTACTCACTACCTGGCTTGATTTGCATTGCTCTGTGTTGTGGGCTAGCCTGGGAATTACGACCTCCATTTGACAGAGGATATGTTGAGGCTCAAAGAAGAGAAGGTCCCATAGATGTCCTTTCAGGATGTCAACACAAGAAACCCAGCCTTCTGGTTAGAGTCCAGGGTTCTGCTCCCCTGACAAGCCCCCCACCCCAGCTCTGGGATAACCTCTGTTACAACCTCCCCTCCAATCTGGGATCCATTTAGTTCTGACATAGGAATGGGGTCAGGGCCAGACCAGATCCTCTCCTTCATGTAAACCACACAATGTCACTCTCTGGCAGAATGTCAACCTGTGCACTGTTGAGCTTCTTAGGCAAAGGCCCAGAAAATTAGACGGCAGAACCTGGGACCCCAGAGAAGTCCTGGAGTATATGTCATCCCGGTGGGACAGAGCTGACCTAGCACTGCCTAGGAGCAGGGGTGCTTGTCAGACACCATGTCTGGTGCAAATGACCTTGGGAGTGTCTGCCACAACTTCCACATTTGTTCTGTAGACCTGCCATGTTCACACACCTGGTCTCTCCTGAGGGTCACTCTAACCCCAGCTCCAGTCTGGGCCATACCTCCATCAAGGCTCCGGGACATGGTGTATCGCTTGCTGGAGGAACGCTCAAAGAAGGGTGCAGGCCGGTCAATGAGGGCACTGGCTTGACGGGTCTGTGCCTGGGTCCTCCCACTGTACCGGAACTTGGAGCCCATCACCAGAAAGCCCTTGGGTGGGGGCTCTGGGGACACCAGCCTAGAACAGAGTAATGGAGATGAGGAATGGGGATCCGGCCTGTACTGTCAGACCCAAAGTCAGACCACAGGCTTTTCATTCCAGTGTCCCACCAACTGCAAAACCTGACAGTCCAGAAAGGGGAGACTTGGAAAGGGTGGGGCTTGCTGTGCTAACTTCGCTTCCTGCTCCCCTGAACCTCACAGGCTGTTAATCCCCTTACCCCACCCAGGGCAGCTCACCGGAAGAACGTGTGGTGCTCAATGCAGACCTTCCACAGCCGCTTGGCTGAGCGGTGGTTAGGGAGCTTGAAGCCGATGGTGCTCTCAAACTGCTCGTACTGGGAAGCCAAGAAGGTTAGAGGTGAGGCCTGGGGCACACTCGCCACCAGCCCACTACTCACTCTCTCTCACACAGGTGCAACTTCAGTCTGTTCGTGCTGTAAACAGGGCAGACTCAACACTTTTCTGTGGCAGGTCCAGTGTTAACCACTGTAGACACTGGAGGAAACACACTCAAGTCTAAGGAATAGGAGGTCTCGGAATAATTAAACAGGGCTGGGGAGATGTCTCAGTGGTGAAATGCTTGTCTCAAAAGCATGAGGACCTGAGTTCAAATCCCAAGAACCTACGTAAAAGGTCAGATGGGTGTGGGAGGCCACCTGTAATTGCAGTCGTAGAAGGGGAAGATGGAGGGTCCCTAGAGCAGTCAGGCTAGCTAGACTAGTCATATTGGTGAGCTCTGGCTTTGACTGTGACCCTGCCTCACTGAATAAGGTGGAAGAATGGTTGAGGATGAGAGAGATTTCTAATATCAACCTTGGGTCCCCCCCAACACATACATACACAGACACACAAACACACTCATATACATATTACACACACATCCATGTACATACCACACACACTCATATACATACTACACACTCATGTACATATCACACACTTGTTTACACACACACACTCATGTACACACCAAAACATACACTCATATATACACTACGTATCATACACACACTTATGTACACACCACACACTGGTATACACACTCAGATACAGCACATACACACTCATGTACACACCCCACATACACTCATGTACAACCATATACACACTCATGTACACACCACACATACACTCATATACAACCACACACACGGAAAAAGAACAAAATAAAATAAGATCATTGCAGACACGGGTAAGAGCTATGGGGGGAACGAAGGACCTGCTAGGCAGGCTTGGGTGCAACTGTCAGAAAGGGCTGCCCTTCATACACATGAGATTTATGCCAGGACCCACAATGTCCCCAAAGGTGAAGGTGTCAAATACTTCAGCCCTGTGTGGTGCATTTGGAAGGTAAGAAAAACCTTAAGAAGTGGGGCCCACTGGGAGTTCTTAGGACACTGGTGTGTGCCCTGAAATGCCATGCCTTTGTACTCCGTAGTTACTCTATGCCTTGAGAGGCGTGGCCACTCTATCCTTTCATGTCCTCCTGTTATGATGTACCACTTCTCCAGGAGCCCAAAGTCCCGGGACTAATCAAACACGGACTAGCCCTCCCAAACTGAGCCAAAGCAAGCCTTCGCTCGCTACAGCAGATGACACTGGGTGTCTTGTCCCAGCGACTGATGCTGATGTGTGTGTGGGAGATGGCAGTGGTTGGCAGGAGCTGATGTAATACAGGGAAAGAGGCGGGAGGTCAATGAAAGGGACCATGTAGAAAGGAACCATACAGTGACAAACAGTGGCTGCTGTGGCAGGCACAGTGGTGAGCAGGGCCAGGAGGGGCATGGTTACTCTAGCAACAGAATCAGAGGGCTTCTGATGGGACTCTACAGTGAAAGGACAGGAGCGGGTGCATGTCTCTGTGTACATCCGTGTGTTATCACGTGCCTGTGCATGCCTCTGTGTACATCATCCCGTGTGTTATCACGTGCCTGTGCAAGCCTCTGTGTACATCATCCCGTGTGTTATCACGTGCCTGTGCAAGCCTCTGTGTACATCATCCCGTGTGTTATCACGTGCCTGTGCATGTCTTGGTGTACAGACACAGCGGGCTACTGAACACAGGCAAATTTGTGAATGCAGAGAGACATGTATTGACTTTTCTGTGTAGCCTGAACCCATGTGGCTGTCCTATGTTCGCTCATAAAGTATATGTGTGAGTGCACATGTTCGCATGCACACGCTGCGGGAAAGCACAGGGCTGGCGGGTGGCTCGGCAGATAAGGCATTTGCCACTCGGCCTGACAACCTCAATTCGATCCCCAGGACGGGTATGGTGGAATGAGAAACTGACTACAGAAAATAGTCCACAGGACTTGACCTCTGGCCTCCACATGTGCACCACAGCAATATGTACATGTGTGTGCATGCATGTACATATGCAGAGACAAATGAACAAAATGTATGTCCAGGGTGTGTAGTCTATGTAGGGAGGCAGGAGGGAGGGAGATCCATCTTCCATGAACCCTAGAACCTTGCTCATGTTTCCTGGGTAGGAAAAACCCAGGCCAGCTGCTGGGGCTCAGTCATCGCCTCAGTAGTGTGGGGTGTGGTAGTGTGAATGTAATTGGCAGCCATAATCTCATAGGGAGTGGCACTATTAGGAGGTGTGGCTTTGTTGGAGTAGGCATGGCCTTGTTGGAGGAAGTGTGTCAATGGGGGTGTGGGCTTTGAGGTTTCCTATGCCCAGGATATCTCCCAGTGTGTCAGTTGACTTCCTGTGACCTGCATATCAAGATGCAGCCAGCACCACGTCTGCCTACACACTGCCATGCTCCCCACCACGATAATGGACTGAGCCTCTGAAAGCAAGCCACTGCGATTAAATGCTGGTGTGGTCATGGTGTCTCTTCACAGCGATAGAAACCCTAAGGTAGGGAGGTGAGTGAAGAGAGCAGGTTTGACCCAGACTCACCTCCCCAGGCCGGATCTTGATGTAGAAGTTACTCCTTTTGTAGGAGATCTTGAGAATCTTGGGCCAGGCAAAACGGTTGATTCTCAGGCGGTCCCGGTAGATGAGCAGGCCATTGGCACAGACACCCAGCATGATATCGATGCCCTCAGAGTCCTGCACAAGGAGAGAGCATGGAATGAGTGTTTGGAGCCAGGCAGGGATGGCCTGCTACCACCCTGCTCCACTTGTAATGAGCTCCCTCAACTAATATTCCCCATAGTCATCTAGACATCCTCTCTGTCACTTAGTCATCGCCTCACCGCTGGCTTCTTCAGTCGCTTGCTCTGTCAATCACTCATCCACTCAACAAATCTTAGGAGCATACTCATGGCAGGCCGTGTACCACATGCTAGTGCGGCAGAAATGAGCTGAGGCCTCGGTCTATCTTTCACACACACAAACTACTAGGTTTATGAGGAAACTGAATCCAAGGGGTGATGATAAAGGTTTGAGAGAATAAAAGGTTATTAACTTTGAGAAAGGAAAACCCCAAAGGTTCCGAGTTGGAGACACTACCTCTGGAGGGGCCACCCCAGGAACCACCTGAGGTGATGGCTTGTGGGGACTCAGTGGTACCTTAGCATGGTGCAAATCAACCCCATACATGGACAGCTTCTTGGCGTTCTCCAGGAAGTGGATCTCCGCCTCTCCTGGGGTCATGCCCCTGAGGAAAGAAAGGATGATGTGGAACGTGGCAAAGGCCTAACGTGAGTCCCACTGGTTGTAGGTGTCACCACCAGAACTGGCCATTCCAGAAAGGCAGGGGGCTGAGCCTTGCCTGGGCCCTCTACTCGAGGCCCCTCTGCTTCAATCCACCGCCTTCTACAACACTCAGGAAGCAGACAAGGGCTAGACTAGGAGTTAGGATTTTTTTGTCTCGGTTCCCACCAAATTAAGTATGAAGTTCATACATCCTGCGTCTCATGGCTGGAAGACCACTATGAAGATGGTGTTCATTAGAGTCACCCAAGGGCTCCTAACACCACCCTCAGAAGATGACAGTGTCAGTGCCACTTAGTCTCCCTTCAGGAACAGGTCCTCAGCTCCTTTCTTACGGGCTGTGCTGGGAATCAAGCTCCATCTTTGCTCTGGCTCAGGGAGCTCAGGCTGCAGTTACACTCACAGCAAACACCGTCAAGGACTATGGCGCTGCTTCCTGCTTCAGGCACTTGGCCTATATGCAGCCTTTCAGTCTATACATGCTGTAGGGCAGGTGTTGCTCTCGAATGAGGAAGCCAGTGCTGGGGGAAAGTCATGAGCTCACTGAAGAGTGCATCGTTATTAACAGCAGGGTCTGGATTTAACGCTAAGCAATGTGGCTCCAATCTGTCTCTCTACAATCTCTGGACTCCATTTCCTCCACCCTGTCCATCTTGGAAATCCTGTGTGGAATTCAAAGATGCCAGATGTCAATGTGCCTTAAGTTCAAAGAGTTATGATGACCACTGCAAGCGGTGATCAAGCACATATTGATCTCTTTCTAAGAATTATCAATCTCCAGGGCACCTGCTATCTAGGATAGGCAAGAACAGCAGACGGTAGGCATGGCACCCTCATCCTGCGTCTGGTGACCATGACTGCTTGTCTCCTACTCAGCATGACTCCATGGCAGTCAGTATGAACCCAGCAGGGCTGTGTGCAAATCTCTGAGAGCGTTTATTTGCCAACTTTGGCTTATCACCCGTCACACCTCGCAGGCTGATCCCCACATACGAACTCATCACATCTGGCCATGATCCCCCTCTCCAGATGCAGTCCACAGCGCACAGCACTCCCCACGCCCTCCATGCACAGAGATGGGACAACATCATCAGAGTCCTTCCCACAGGTGCAGCACTGTACCCTTTAGAATGTATTTTCACATCAGATTCCTAAAACAAGCTTGAGCTTGGACCAAAGCATTTCCGGATGAAAAGGGCCATGCAAATCATTTCCATCCAGAGGCAGGTAGTGTTCTCTGCAGAGCAGGCACTGAGAAATGGCAGTGGACTGTATTCCCATTGCTGCAATTGCTTAGGGGTATTATGGGCATTCAATGTCTACAGCCCAAGGAAGCTTAAGATCCTGCATGATGAATTCTGCTGTCCCAATACCAGCGACTGAGCAACACTCATCATATCAGCCTGTGTATTTATAGGTGAAAATGGGACTTACAGAGGTTCAGCAGCTAGCCCACAATCACACATCTGGCCAATTATCTTCTAACTCCAGAACAAAGTATGCAATCAACAACTCAACAAAGTATGCAATCAACAACTCAACAAAGTATGCAATCAACAACACAAATGCTCCAATTGATGCATAGCGACACAGCCCACATGTCACGTGGCTTTAATATTTGCTCTGTGGCCTCCTTAATAACCCCATGGGGCATGTTGACCGGCACCATGCTGAATAGATGAACACACCAAAGCACAGTGAAATAAAATGACCTGTTGACATTCCCTGGTTAGAAAGAGGCACGGTCAGGTTTGGCATTTGCATTTAAACTTGGGACTTTTTTTGCCCAAATCACTACATCAGTACCCTTCCCCAGAGGCATGCCAGTATTATTATAACTGAGTAACAGAAAAACTGATCCCCAGAAGCTTGAGACAGGGAATTTTACCCACACAGAAACTCAAGAAGTTGAGGTCCACAGTCACACAGATGGTCCCAGTTATTCTCACCTCATAGAAATGACCTGTTCGCAGGCACCTCATGCTAGGAGCAGTGCCAAGTGGCGTATGTAAGACACAGCATTTAGGGCCCAGCCCTTCAGCCGGAGAGGAGGGCTGCAGCCAGCAGGCCGCCAGGCTCCCTCACCTGTACGTCTTGTGCAGCTCCATGATCCTTTCCTCCAGCTCCCGGGTCTGGTTTGGGGCGAAGCGGAGCTCACTGACATAGTTGCCCATGTGCTCCTCTGCATCGTAGTCACCCAGCTCCGCCTGCACGGCATAGGAGCCCAGCAGGGCATGCGTGACAAAGGAGCAGGGCAGCCGGCCTGTGATGATGTCTGCCCTGAGCTGCAGGCACAGGTAATACCTGGAGGCGGGGAAAGAGGTGGGCATGGGTCTACGCTTCCAGGTGGCTCAGACCCCTAGCGAAATCAGCTCCAGGGAAAATGGCACCCACAGACACTGGCAATCATTGCTGGTGAGTGGGTGTGTCCTGTGAACAGGTTTTGAGACATGCCATGGGACTACCAGCATTTTTGTTCATTTCTGAATTTGAGGAATTTTTTTCTATACTAAGAGAATTTCTGAGATTTATATAATTCATTTCCAAGCTTAATAGGACTACTACTGGCTTGGCCCTTGAGGGGAAAAGGACTTGTAGCTTTATTTGTTTTTGTTGGTTGGTTTTGTGTATGTGTGCCTGTACGTGTGTACAAATACACACATAACATGGTGTGCATGTGGGAATCAGAAAGCAAGTTTCTTTTTCTGGTTTTTCAAGACAGGGTTTCTCTGTGTAGCCCTGGCCACCCTGAAACTCTCTCTATAGACCAGGCTGGCCTTGAACTCACAGAGATCCATCTGCCTCTGCCTCCTGAGTGCTAGGATTAAAGGCGTGCACCACTACTGCCTGGCCAGAGGACAATTTTTTAGTTATTTATTTTATTGCATGTGAGTGGATGTTCTGCAGGCTGTATGTGTGTGCACAATGTGCCTGGTGCCCACGGGGATCTGAAGAGGCTCCCCTGACAGTGGAGTTACAGATGGTCATGAGCCACCACGTGGGTACTGGGAACTGAACCTGGGTCCTCTTCGAGAACAAGTGCTCTTGGCCAGTGAGCCATCTCTCCTACCACCTTGTTTGAGGCAGGGTCTTTTTGTTGTTTGATTCTGTGTATACCAGTGAGGTGGCCCTGGAGCTTCTGAGGCTTTTCCTGTCTCGCCTTCCTTGGCACAGGAGCACCGAGATTACACACACATTGCCACATCTGTCCTTTTACATGGCTTCGGGGATCCAAACTCAGCTCCACACTGTGTGCAAGCACTTTACCCTCTGAACTGCCCCCTTAGCCCAATTGGTTGGTTTTGAGACAGGGTCTCACTGTGTAGCCAAGGCAGGCTTGGAACTCATCATATATCTAAGGCTGTTCTATATATGAATCCTCCACCTTCCAAGTGCTGGGATTATAGGCACACAAAACTATGACTGGCTATAATACAGTTTTAATTATAAATTAGTATGTTCTGTGTTTTCTTTTTCACAGAGTACCACTGCATAACTCAAAGTGACCCCCCCACCTCAGTCTCCCAAGTGATGGGATGATGGGCAGGAGCACCACACCTTTCATGCCATGCTGAGGGTGGAACCCAGGGCTCCTACATGCCAGGCAAGCACTCTACCAAGTGAACAGCATCACCTGCCCTACAAGTTAATATATTCTCAGATGAAGGAAGGAAGGAGGAAGAAAGGGAGGGAGGGAGGGAGGGAGGGAAGAAGTTTAGAGATGTCTCTGAGTTTCCTCTTGATGGCCATTCCCAGCTCCCTCCCCAAGGCCACCAGTTATTCACATGGTATTCTAGACATTTCTCCTCCACAAGTACATGAAAAAGCATGTGGCTTTTTGATGGCTATTTTAATATGCAAATAATATCAAAGGCTACATCTGATTCTGGAGCTCCCTTTGTTACACCCAGCAGCACAACTTAAGAAATGTCTCCATGCCAGCACAGCTCTCCAAATGCACTTTAACCTCTGAACCACAGCCCGCAGCCCAGATGGACCTGGTGACCAACGCTCTGCCCAAACTGCTTTTCTACACTGATTCAGCGTGTGTGTGTGTGTGTGTGTGTGTGTGTGTGTGTGTGTGCACGCACACAGGAAGCAGGTGCAGGTCACAGAGTGTGCAGAGGTCAGAGAACAACTTTGGGAGCAGATTCTCTCCTTCTACCATTTGGGTCCTAGGGATCAAACTCAGGTCACTAGGCTTGGAGGAAAGTACCTTTACCCACTGAAGCATCTTGCTGGCCCTCTCCCCAAACTCTTCTGCCTCCAGTCTAGAGAAGCATTTCCAGTCACCAGACTGTGACTGTTGTACATTCAGTTTGACGGTGTTTTCCATTTAAGTCATTTGCTACCACTTCTGCAGCCACTGTTCACTGAAGTAAGGCACAGGCTGCTACATCATCAGCCAGGGCGTCTCCTTGCCCTTTTCTGCCATGGTTTGCCAATGTTTTCCTAGCCGCCCAAGTCTCTGCCTTCAAAGTGACTTCGACTTAGTAGAATCTTTAGTGCTCTGTGACATTATTTCAAAGTCCGGAAGCAAACCCCTGGCAAAGACCGAGTACAGTCATCTGCCACCACTCACACATCACAGGAATTCAGCACAGGCCTGTGACATTTTGTTCAAGAGTCTAAAAATTCGAAAATCATTGCCAGCACTCCAGCCAATCCTTCATTTCAATCAATTTATCATTCTGACCAGTTTATTTTGGGCTTCACTATTTTTGACTAAATCAGCTGCTCCTACGACCCTACCTTCTGGGTCCATCTGTGCTGGACAGAGCTAACCTTCCTCCTGGTGTCCCTGGAAGACCGAGACCCAGGGTCTGGCACTGAGGACACACCCTGGAGGCTGTGCTGGCCTGAAGCTCTGGATTGGGATATGGCTGCTGTCACCTTGGCCCCAAGCAAATCTCATGGCTTAGAGTGGGGCTAATGAAGCCAAGGCCTGGGTCCTGCTCCATTCCAGGAACGTCTGTCATCTCTCCCAAGGCCAGAGGCAGCATCTTGAACTTGATATATTGCTTAGTCAAGGGGTATCAGGCATTAAAAATGGACCTGATATCCAGGTCTGCCTGTTCAGGCCTGCTCCATTCCAGGAACGTCTGTCATCTCTCCCAAGGCCAGAGGCAGCATCTTGAACTTGATATATTGCTTAGTCAAGGGGTATCAGGCATTAAAAATGGACCTGATATCCAGGTCTGCCTGTTCAGGCCTATAACTTCAGACTAAAAAGGCTGGAGCAGGAGGGCCAGAAGTTCAAAGCAGCCCAGGGAACTTAGTGAGATTGTCTCAGAATTTCTTAAAAAGTGGCACTGGGAAGACGGCTCAGTGATTAAGAGCACATACTGCTTTCCCAAAGGACCTGGGTTCTGTTCCCATAGCCCACGTAGGGTGGTTCACAACTGCCGGAATTGCTAACTCCGGGAGATCTGAAACCCACTTCTGGCCTCTACAGGCACCTATAGAGGTGGCATAACCTCACACAGACATGTGCACATAAAGAAAAATGGATACTAAAATCTTTTAAATAAAAAGAGGACTGGAGAAACAGCTCCTGCCGAGTGCTTAGTCTAGCATGCACAAGGTCCTAGGTTCAAGTCCAGTACTCGAACAAAAGAAAAAAGAAAGAAAAGGGCCCAGTGGGAGAGAGCGAGGGCAGCTTCCAAGCCCACGTCTTATCGGGTGTAAGGCCCACAATGTGAATGGCGACAGAGTGGGTATCATGTACCGAGGCCATGTTTCTGACAGGACTTAAAGAGAGGGGCTTCTCCCTGCTCTGCTTTCCAGAGGCAGGATGAGCCACGCAAGCTCCCACCCTGAAGGATGTTCTGTCCCCACTGACAATCCTCAGGTCACTTGAACCTACATGGCTCATGTTCAACCCGGCAGCCCAGGGGCCTCCACGGGGCTCACACATCTCCTTTCATCTCCACACGCCCGACTTACACAGAGGACACCAAACTCCCACACGCAAGCCTCTCTTCCTCCCCTCTCAACACCACAAACTGGTGTTCCATGCAGAACCTCAGACCCCTGTGCCAGGTCACCTGACCCACAGAGGGTTCCCACTGGGGCTAGAAAAAACTTGTATTCACTGTCAAGATTTGCCAAGATTTTTCCAATACAAATACATAAATACCTGACTTCACTCAACTTTCAGGCCCAATTCCCACAGGCCAGTGACGTCCCAGAGCCTGATAGCAATCGTTTTAATTATTAAAAATAATATTAGCAGCGTGTGTGTGTGTGTGTGTGTGTGTGTGTGTGTGTGTGTGTGTGAGGTGGGAGGGCAGGGGAGGGGGTAATGATGCTAGGACATGTATGCAGAGGTCAGAGGACAACTCTGTGGCACTTTTTTCTCCTGTCTTTACATACATTCCAGGGATTGAATCAAGGCACCAGGTTTAAGCACAAGTCTGATGAAGCCATGCAGCCAGACCACAACAACCTTTTAGATACATCTGTCCTTTTGATGGGCCCCAGGGACCCCTCTGACACCTTCTCTGGGGTTACAGTCAGCTGCATGTGGGTCCTGCTTTCCTCATGCTCTCTACTTTCCTGAGATGGCCTGCCTGCGGAAGGCATCTGCATTTACTACTCCCACCAGGCAGAGCCTCCCGGGGCCTCCGTCTCCCAGGGCCAGCATGCCCGGCCCCACTCACATTTCCACAGGACCAGAGCATCTATCCCTCTCTTCATGGTCCTCACCTTGTGATGTCTTCTGTCAGCTGGGCAGGGTCAGGAGGGTAAAACTTGACTGTGAAGGCAAAATTCCAGGGGCTGCCTAAGAGGAAAAGGCAAGAGAGGTCAAAGAGGCCACATCATCCCAGCGGCTGTCCTTGATGCAGTAGCCTGGGAAGCAACGTTCATACAGTTCCCTCTCTGAGGCAATCCAATCACATCATTCCCATTTGATGGAAAAGGAAACTCTCAGCCCAGGCTAACAGACTTGGGAGTAGGCTATCGAGGTGGCTCAAGGGGTAAAAGGTAAAAGCACCTGTCATGAAAGTTTGACGACCTGAGTTTGATCCCTGAAACCTACAGAGTAAGAAGAAACTCCTAAGAATTGACCTCTGACCTCCACATGTGCTGTGGCACACACACACACACACAACACATACACATATACACATATACACACACACACATGCAGGTGCACACACACATAATAAAATACTTTTCTTGAGAGAGCTGAGAGCTAACAATGGGAAAGAAGATAAAAATAAAAGTAAGCCTGCATGCCACATGTATGCACTGAACAACTTCACTAAACCACAATTTTGAGAACATGGAAGCCCAGGCAACAAAGGTGACCAGCTTTCCCCACCGGCATAGGAACTTAAATTTCATAATCACCCTGAGAGCGAGGTTTTCATTGATTGGTTGGTTGGTTTAGTTGTTGTCGTTTGGGTTTTTTTCAGCACTCGTTATCAAACCCAGGGCCATGAGCGTGCCAGTCAATCACTCTGCCAGTAAGCTACCTTCCCAAACAGAGTTTCCTTTTCATTGACAAAGATTTTAAGGATCAATCAACTAATTGGTAACAGAGAACCGGTTTCCAAACTCTAGTCATCCGGCCCCACAGCCCAGGCTCTTAATCACAAAGACTCTTGGCAAGCCTCAAGGGACATAAGCCCTGTCCCCGGAAGAAGAGCAGGGCCAGTGAGCAGTGCTCAGAGCTAGTGCATGCTGGGTGCACTGTGTGAGCGCCATACCCGTTTCGCCCTCTCAGCAACCCCAAAGCTGTGCTATCACGACCCCACTTTGCAGTCAGGAAACTGAGGCATGGAACAGTTACGAAGCACAAGAAAATTGAGCTAGAATTCAAATCCAGGCTGTGTCCAGAAGAAAGCAGCCACTGTGTCTGGCGATGTCTAAGGGCGTGTCACTTTGCTGTCCCTCATAGTTTATGAATCAGTGACTCAAGAACTGTCCAAGGTGTCTTAGATGACAGCAATGAGACTTGAGCGGAAAGACACCTATCTCAGAAGCCTGGGATACAAGGGCTCATGAAGCCGCCATCAAGGCTGAGGAGATGGACCAATAACAGAAAGGAGGCAAAACTCCTTTGCAGTCCCAAAGGACAGGACTGGGATGAACAGGTGGGCAATTCAGAGACTGAGACAAAGACAAAGCTCTAATTTTAGTATATATGCTGCTGAAGCGAGCACAAGACAAAGCTCTAATAGAGAAGGGGCATGTGTGTGCGTGCGTACTTGCGTGCGTGCGTGAATGTATATGTGCGTGCATGTATGCGTGTGCATGCGTGCGTGCGTGCGTGCGTGTGTGTGTGTGTGTGTGTGTGTATTCACCTTGTTCTTGTACATGTGGAGGCCAGAGGCTGATATCTTTCTCTAATGCTATCTACCATATTATTATTACTATTATTATTAGTTGTAGTGGTAGTAGTAGTAATTACTGTTGTTTTGTTTTTTGAGACAGGACTTCTCTGTGTAGACTTGGCTGTCCTGGAACTTGCTCTGTAGACCAGGCTGGCCTTGAACTCACAGAGAGCCACCTGCCTCTGCCTCCTAAGTGCTTGGATTAAAGGCCTGCACCACCATGGCCCAGCTGTTACTATTATTTTTAAAGATTTACTTTTATTTTATACATATAAGAGTTTTGCCTGTGTATTAAGTGCACCACATGCATGCAGTGCCTGTAGAGATTAGAAAAGGGCATCAGATTCCCCCGAAACGGAAGTCACAGATGGTGGGTTCTGGGAATCAACCCCAGGTCCTCTGAAAGAGCAACAAGTGCTTTTAACCACCAAGTCATCTCTTATTCTTGACAATTTCATACATATATACCATGTATCTTGATCATAGCCATCCCTGCTCCCCCGACGCCTCAAATGCCTCCTTCTCACCTTCATGTCCTCCTTTTTCTCTCTACTACACCTGCGTCCAATTAGTGTTTCCTACATTGCACGAGTACTGAGCCATCCACTTTCACCTAATTTTCTGAGACCAGTTTCTCATTGAACAATGCGGCTAGACTGGCTGGTCAGCAAGCCCTTAGACTCGACCTGTGATGCTCTGCTGGCTTTACTCAGTGCTGAGAATCTGAACTCAGGCCCTCATGCTTAGGCGGCAGGCACTTTGCCTACTAAGCTAGTTCCCCAGTCCTCTAGGGGAGGCACTTCCTAAGGATCAAGGCCATGTGAAGGCCATGGCTTGAGCTGTCACAGGAACAACAGTCTATATATCAAGCCTGGTGGGCAGGGTCTCCAGGATTGCTCTGGGGAATGACCCTAGGGCCTGGTCATTCAGCCTGGCTGCCTCTCTTTTCCAGACTACTGGTCTTTATTAAACTCTGCAACTTGGCTGCATGTATCTGTACCAATTCTTTCAAGGCCTGAGAGGCTGGCCTCCCAGCAGGGCTGGCACCACTGGAAGACAGCCTACAATTCAGCCCTAGAACCCTGCTGACCCACAGAAACAGGCTCTGCCTGTGTGCCTGTCTCTTTGTCACCAACTGTCAGGAACCTACAGGAAAACATCGTCAAGCCCCCTCCTGTAGAGTCAGCTGGCTTCCCTGGACCAGATGCCTGCTGTCATGGCAACAGACTCCGCTACAGCTTCCCAGCCAGGGGCCAGGGAGCACAACCCTGCAGAGCCCAAGCATATCCAGGGTGTGTGGGGCCTGAGATGGAGGCAGAGATGCTCTTCACCTTCTGCAGGCCCATTTGCTGAGGCTACCAACCTCCTCCTTCCACTATTTGAAAGCTTTCTCATCCCTCCCAACATGCTTCTCTCTGGGCCAGAAAAGACAGGTTGCTGACCCGTCATCTGCCACCTCCCGGGGCATTGAAAAGAGAACAAGATGAAGGCCAGGGCTCAGGACTGGCGCCACCAGCACTTGGCTCTGTGACCTTACATAAGCAGCTGCCGTTCTGCAGACCTGAGTTAAGGGTTGCTAGTCACTCCACCATCCCTGGACAGAAGGCTAGATCTTTCCAGCTCATCTGTTTGTCCCCATGTCCCAGATGACTCTGCAAAGCTGATCTCCTGAATGCATTTACAGTTTCTTTACTAATTTGCAGTGTGGCTCTGTGCTGTCATCTGTTGTCTGGGCCTCAGGCTTGTTACCTATAAAATAATGTCCACATCATTCCTACCCTGCCTTCTCTAAGAGCTGCCGTGCATGGCAAAGGAGTATGGGGATCCAGGAGCACATTTCAAAGCAGGTGGGAGCACTACAGCCAAGCCCTGCCCACCCATCCACACAGCACAGCCACAAGCAAGTACTCACTCCGGATCTGCTTCTTGATTTCCTTGGAGGGGTCCAGCCAATTCTGGAAGAGAATCAAAGATCCGTCCTTGAGAAGGGAGATGGAGGAGTGGGCAGAGTGGGACTGGAAGAGATGGCTACCCGGAAGTGGCCAGCCACAGACTATCACGGGGAAATTCTTGCCTCAGTCTATTTACTTGGCACTAGAAAGTGAGGCCTGGATTCCCAGCAGGGTTTGGTCATTTCTTCAGGGCTGGCATTGCCCTGAGACAGCCACAATGGCCAGGTACTACAGCTATAGCTAGAAGGAAAGTGAGGCAGCATGCCCCACCCCTGCCCAGGCATTGGTTGAGGACTGCTCTGTTCCCCCGGGAACCCACACAGCCACATCATAGCTCTCTAGTTACCTGTCTGGGAGTACCTTAGAAAAGACTGGGGGTGGGGAGCTGGCAGAGCTGAGTGGTTACAGCAGCTGATATACAAACGGAGGATGCCTACTGAAGGACTGCCCCCCTTCCCACCCGCCAGCAGACCCCTAGCCAGGTACCTTCTGGCTGTCAGCATCACAGAAGGTCAGACCAAAGTAGTCCTTCTCCAGGAGGTTGAGGTGCTCACAGACCAGGTCAAACAGCACCTGACCCCTGCCGTGCTTCTGAGGGAGAGAGAAGAGCTACTGTAAGGCTGGTGCACCCTCAGGTGGGGCTAGGGGCTGACCCAGCTTCTCCAGGACAAATAAAAAGCTCCCATGAGCCTCCTGTGGCTGGGCAGGACCTTAGCACCCCTGCCACTGTCCAAGTCTCTAATGCCCACCTCACCTAGGTCTCCCTCACAAGCCCCGCCAGGGTCTCCCTAAGACCATGGACCTGTTGGGAGCATGTTGGAGATTTCTTCTAGACAGAAAGCCAGAGAAGAAGCTGAAGGCCTAAGGCTTGGGGATGAGAGGGAGAGAAGATGCCAAGTGAGCCTGTAACTCAGAATCACAGTGTGGCACCCTTCTGTGGTCAGCCCTGCTCATCAGCCCTTGAATGGTGACATTCTTACCAAGGCGCAGTCACCCTGAGACACCTTTGCCTGGTGCCAGTCTGTGGGTCTTAATTTGGTTTGCAACAGTGATGAATGACCCTTTCTGGACCTTGGTGTCACCATCTGTACAGGGGAGCGCCAGGCCAAGCCATCCCTCTGAACACCGCAGTTGGTCCTCCTCCGATTTGGCTTGGACTCAAGACACACAGGAGCTAGCCTGGCACTGAGGCCAGCCTGGGGTGTGGCATATGGCCCTGGGTGCTCCCTACCTCCACCTCACACTCGTACTCGGAGGCATCGAGCAGAGTGACTCGGCAGATGGCACTCTTGAACTTCTTGGCAATCTTCTGGGGTGACTTCTGGGCCTTACTGGGCGTGGTCCTCTCCGACAGGCCATCGGCCTCACAGTAGTCCTTATCCTCCATATCTAGGTTCTGTGGGACCAACAAGAAAAGAAGTCAGCCAACTTGAAGCAACAGGAAGTAACTGGGTGGCTGAGGCCAAGAAGTGCCTAAAGGAAGAAGTGCTACCTTCCAAGACCTTCCGGGTCCTGGGGGCTGGGACTGGTGTACATGGGTAGAGATGTGATGTTTCCATGGGGGCTGAGGGGTCTGTCTTACTACGACTACTGCTGCCGTGGACAGCCTGTGGGGACAGCAGCAGTCCAGAGAACTAAAGTCAAGCTGCTCTGTCCCTCTCCCTAGAACAGCATGTGACTCATCAGGGCATCTGAATGCTCTGTCCCATCTTAACTGTCACTAGATCTAGCAAGGAGCCGAGAGCTGTGGTGATTGCAATGGAGGGAGGAGCTGGCTCCCTCCAAGAGTGTGGCCAAGTCCCGGCCTCTCTGGACCTGCCATGAATTAGGGAGGTGCAAATGGAGGGCTCAGTATGTCCTGCAGTCTCCTAGAGTCTTCCGGGGAGGAGTTTTGTCAGGGTCTCACCAGGTTTGCCAGGCTTGAGTGAAAAGGCAGGAGACTAAACTTGGCAGGACTGTATCTGGAATCAGTTCCGGGTGTGGCCTCCACCTCTGTCGTCTTATCACTATGTGACTTTGGGGATCTGGGTATGCCACACTGTGCCACAGACCCTCTCAACATAAAGCAGGGGAAATGACAGCTCCCCTCTGGGGACTGGGGGGATTAACTGTAAAATGACCATCATGCCCCAGCCCAGAGTCATGAGTGTAGCTGTATCTCCTTTTTTCTTCCCTGCTGAGAAAACACTAGGGCCCTAATAGCTGGACCAGGGGGACAAGTGGGGTGGGAAGAGGGACATCCCAGGCCCCAGTACACACCTGTTCAACAGGCCTCGCGTCCTGCTGGGGCAGATGCTTCTCATTGGAGTTGGTCTCCGGGTGGCTATGGCCTGCGGGGGTCACCGGTGTGGTCACAGCTGCAGCAGCCTCAGGCTGCTGTGGAGTCTCCTCCTGAGCCTTCTTCACCTCAGAATCGGGGCCTGTCTCTGTTGTCATGGTGACCAGCACGCCTGCATTGGAATGAAGGAGAGCATGTGACGGGGAAGGATAGTAATGTGACAGTGGGGACAGGAACGGCACACTGTGTGGGACAGATGGAGAAAAATGGACACGGAACCAGGGAGGAGGGAGGGGTTATGGGGCAAAGGGACAGGGAGGCATGAGAACGTGGAGTCAGTGGCCCCAGAGCAAGTCTGAGGTCTCCTTCCGTCTGTGTCCAGTTACACAGAAACCCAGACCTCATGGCCCAGACCTGCGATCTGCACCCTTTCTAAGGATGATGAGGGTCTGTAGGGCCCTTTGCTCTGCACAGGGTGCCAGCAAGACCCAGGCCAGGCTGACTCTCCCACAACACCTGGCACGGGACAGCCCCTTAGTTAATTCAGGGTGCACTGAATGCAAAGTAAGAAAGCCCTGGGTTGCAGACCTCTACACATGAGTTTAAGCAACTTCCCAAACTTCAGTCACACACACACGCACACACCAGCCCCAGCTTCACAGGATGTTATCAAGATGGACTTCCATGGATCAAAACACACCATGCTGCCCATGGAATGCTCAGGGAAGCAGGGCTCAGTCTGTCTACTTCAAATGTGTCACCTCACTTCTCTGGGACTCACCTATAAACTGAGGGACTTAGGGGGAATATCTCTGGACAGGGTCTTTAACAGTTTCCCCTCTGAAACACTAAATGAGCTGCCAGGGAAAAGGAAGGAGCTGCTGTCCAGCTATTCTGTGGGACTGGCCAGGTGCTGAAGACAGCAGTCTAACAGCATGGCTTCATGTTTTATTCATCCTGTGAGAGATCATGGAGAACACTTGCCACTGTTAAGGAAAGTTAAAGGAAAATTTAAAGACCTACAGAGATGGGAGGGATAAGAGGGGAATATCATTTTTACTCTAGACACCTTGGAATCACTAGGATCTTTTTTGTTTTTGAGACAAGATCTCACCATGCAGCCCAGGCTAGCCTTGAACTTACTATGCAGTCTGTGCTGGCACTAAACTGTTCTTCAAATTCTTATTATTATTGCTGTTGTTACATGTGTGCCCGCGTCATGGCATGAGTGTGGAGGACAGCTTTTCACACTTGATCATCTCCTTCCATGATGGGTTCCGGGGATCTAACTCGGGCTTCAGGGTTGTGATGTATGCACTTTTACCCACTAAGCCACCTCGACAGCTGAGGCCTTGAACTCTTGATCCTTCCTTCTCAGCCTCCCTAATTATGGGATTACAGGTATCTCCCATCACATCCAACACTTGGGTATTTGTAATAAGCATATTAATTGTAAGCTTGTTTTGTTTTAAAGGCAAAAGCACTCATTCACGACCATAACCAGTGGGGATATATATATATATATGTACTCTAATATATATATTAGAGTAAGAGAAATGATGAGTAGGAGCTGTTACGGTGAAAGCTTCACCCCAGCCCCTGGCATCCATCTACCCAAAGAGTCTGGAGTGTTATGCTGGAAGTTCCACCCAAGCCCCCTCCCTCATCTCCCTTTAAACCCTGCTGCATCTCAGAAAGTCTGCCAAATGATAACCCCTCCCCTAGAGATACTCAAGACCACTCCCACAGGGTATTTAAACTGTCCCCCAGAGAGCAGACTTGTGGTTTTTCTGGTCTCTCTTTCCCGTCTCTTCTCTGGGGGACTGGAAGGCCATCCAGGAGCACTGTATCCATTAAACGTGAGCTTTTTCTAATTCTGTTTGATTTGGTCTGATCTGGATTGCTGCATGGGTGGAGAGGCTTATTGGGGTGTGGATGCTTTTCATGAACCATCACTCTTTAGTCTAGACCCTTCCTCTAAGTTCATTGTATATAAGAAAGATCCACAGAAGACCTGGTGGGATCCTTTCCTCAACCATCCACCATGAAAGGCCTCAGACAGACAGGCATACTGAACACTCTGAACCACCCACGTGCTCCGGGACTCACTTCCATTTATTTCTTTATGTCAGGTGTGGTGTTTCACATTTATATTACCAACACATGGGAAGCTGAGGCAGGAGGATTATCACAAATCTGAGGCCAGCCTAGGCTACAAAATGAAACCTGTCTCAAAAAACCAAAACCAAACCACATTAAACCAAAACCAAAAACATTTTAATTTATTTACTTATTCAAATTTGTGGACAGGATGGGGGTAGAATCTAGGCTCTCACACACACTAGGCAAGCACCCTGGCCATTCCTTCCGTTCCTTTTTATTCTTTGGTACCTTGAGAACTTGTTTGGAGGTTTAGTAGGGAAAGGTCCTCCTCTTCAACCAACAGCTTCCTGGAGAGGGACTAGGACCTGAGTTCAATTCCCAGCACCCCTATCAGGTAATTCAGAACTGCCTGGAACTCCAGCTGTGGGTTGGGGAGGGACCTCTGACTCCCTCTCACCATCACCAACACACACGGCAAATGCACACAAATAATAAACATTTGAAAGTGTGTGGACACTTTCTGCTGTGACAGGACCCCAGGGGTACATCCACTCCTCCCCTTCCTGTGTCCTCTGTTCTTCCTGGACACAGCTAGGAAAGCAATCTTAGGTGAATGCTCCACATTTCCCTGCAGAGGATCTGGTAGTAAATGCTACAGATAGGAGGAGCTGGACACTTTTTGAGAAATAACTACTCTATGTCAATTCTGTCACAGTAAGAGTAACAGGACTTGAGTGACAGTCACTTCCTCAAACAGTGGGCTTAGCTTCTAGCCCATTCTCTTCCCTGTTGGTTGCTTAGCTCTCCAGATCTCAACTGCGGACGCATTTTCTCTCCCTGGCACTCAACTACCTCAGCAAAACCTACCCTCCTCAAAGGAGAAATGGCCCAGGTCCAGGCTGAACACCAGATAGGTAAATAAAAGCTGAGGACCTCCAGCCCCCATAAGAAAAGAGAAAAGAATAACGCCAGTATTCAAAGCTGCAGCCAGGAATAGAAACATTTTAGCTTGCCTGGAATTGCTGCCGCCGGTCCCATCCCCACCTTCCAGCCTTAACTGACAGCTCATCATCTCCTGCATTAAAATTTCAAACTCCTTCATTTCATCCTTCTCACCACATTCGTCCCAGCACTCCCTGTGAATCTTCCACTACCTCCTTGCATAACACTTGTGTGCACAAGGTAAATGCGGAAGTACATTGCTCTGGAATACACCTCGAGGTCCGCTACCTGCGCGGTGTGACCCAGCCTTTCCCCGAGCCTTCTGTCTAGGCTGTACCCTTCCCTGGGTACGCGGTTCAGCTGCGCACTCTTCTTTCAGGAAGCCTTTCCCAGCCGTCTCCCCGCCAGGCCTGCACACTTCTACAACCCCACAGGGCATCTTCCTCCCCCCCCCCGCACGTCTTTGACAAGCACCGTCTGCACTGATTTGCTGCTGACCCCCACCCCTGCTGTGCTGTGTTCGCTGTGTTATTCCTCCCGGGGTCAAGGGTGGCATCTCCTGGAAACAAGGGGTGAAGAGTCCTCAGTAGACACCGTGTGGTAATATGCAATGCTGGTGTGGTGATAAGAATGGACCGTGGACGACAAGGACTGGATGGAGGTGGTCAAAAGCAAACAAACAAAGCCCCGTGGGACTTCCATGGAAACACTCTGCTCCTGTGCCACATTCTCCAGATACATCAGCCGCTTATTCTTGTCCCAATCGTCACGACATCTGCATTTCTTCATCTATGAGAGGCAATTATGTATCTCCTTTGGTGGATGTGTTTCAAGGTTGGATATTAAAATCATCTAGACTGCATAGTGTACAAATAAACTTATTAAAATACAGTGAATTTTATATTTGAAAACTCAGTATACTGTTTCTATGAATTTTTAATTTCAGTACAATTTTTTTTTTGTTTTTGTTTTTCAAGACAGGGTTTCTCTGTATTGTTTTGGAGCCTGTCCTGGAACTCGCTTGGTAGACCAGGCTGGCCTCGAACTCACAGAGATCCGACAGCCTCTGCCTCCCGAGTGCTGGGATTAAAGGCATGCACCACCAATGCCCGGCTCAGTACAATTTTTTAGGGTTATTTTATTCCTAAATACCACAGCAATCTCCTTATCTCTGCCACGTCAGGCTGACTTACTTTCACTGCGAGTGTCCTGACAGTTCTTAAATCTCAAAACAAACCTACTTGCCAGGCTGTGGTGGCTCATGCCTTTAATCCCAGCACTTGGGAGACAAGTGCATCTCTGTGAGTTCAAGGTCAGCCTGTGAGTTCCATGACAGCCAAGGCTGTCATACAGAGAAACCCTGTTTTGAAAACAAAAAAAACCCCAAATAAACAAAAAAAACATACTCAAGAATAGATGCCCTCAGGCTTTGACAGCCCCCTAAGAATAAGGATTTCTTACTTTTAGTTCTGATCTGCCACTGTGTCTCTTTGAGAAGTCTTAATTGTCTATTATATTATCAATAAAGCGGGAATAAAAAGTCGTGTATTTGTTTTCAACTTATGACGGGCTAATCAGGACATAACATCCTGGAAAGTCAGACAGCATCCACGATGAACATCTCAGCAAAGTGTCAGCTAGGGTTAGCTCTGTGTGACAGAACAGACTAACGTTTTTCTTCTATTTAACTGCAGCTTGCTTGAGACTAGGCTGGTGTCAAACACCTGGCCTCATCCTCCCAAGCAGCTGGGACCTCAAGGACATGTCACCATGCCCATGAGATCTCGATCTTGGGCTGACCCTCCTTTGTTGCCATACCTGTTTCCCTTCCTTTTCTTTCTTTCTCTTTCTCTGCCCTCTGCCTCCTTCTACATCTGGTTGGCTCAACACTTGCTATGCAGACCAGGCTGGCCTCAAACTCAGAGATCAACCTGCCTCTGCCTCTGCCTCTGCCTCCTATGTGCTGAGATGAAAGGTTATCACTAACATGTTGCTATGCCAGAATTCAGAGCTTTAAATGATTGCCCTAAAACCTGAGGTTAGCCAGGTATGAAAGCTCATGCCTGTAATCCAAGCACTCAGGAGGCCGTGGCAGGAGGATTACTACGAGTTTGAGGCCAGCCTGCA